GGCTTTTCAGGGTGGATTTTTGGGGTTTTCAGGGTGGATTTTTGGGGTTTTCAGGGCGGCTTTTTGGTGTTTTTGGGGTTTTTGGGGTGGATTTTTGAGGTTTTCAGGGTGGATTTTTGGGTTTTTGGGGCGTATTTTTTGATTTTTGGAATTTTCAGGGTGGATTTTTTGGGTTTTTGGGGCGGATTTTTTGATTTTTGGGTTTTTCAGGGCAGATTTTTGGGTTTTTTGCGGTTATTTTGGGTTTTTTGGGGTGGATTTTTTGATTTTTGGGTTTTTCAGGGCAGATTTTTGGGTTTTTTGCAGTTATTTTGGTGTTTTTGGGGTGTTTTTGGGGTGCTTTCCCACCTTGGCGTGGGGCTCCACGGCGTAGCCGCGGTAGTTGGCCGAGGATTTGCGGCGCAGGGGGGGCGGCTGCGGGGGGGGGTCCCGGGGGGGCTCCGACCCCTCCCCCCCCTCCCCCCCCCCCTCCTCCTCCGGGGCTCTCTGGTCACGGGCAGCGAAGGGTTAAACGGGGGGGGGTCCCCAAAAATGGGGGGGGGTCCCCAAAAATGGGGGGAGGGAGAATTTGGGGAGGGGTCTCACCATGGGATCCTCCCTGGGGGGGGAAAGAGTGGTTAGAGACCCCCAAATTGGGGTGGGGGACCCCAAAATTGGGGTGGGGGACCCAAATTTGGGGTGGGGGACCCCAAAATGGGGTGGGGGATCCCCAAAATGGGGTGGGGGAATTTGGGGAGGGGTCTCACCGTGGGCTCCTCCCTGGGGGGGGAAAGAATGGTTAGAGACCCCCAAAATGGGTTAGAGACCCCCAAAATGGGGTGGGGGACCCCAAAATGGGGAGGGGGTCCCCAAAAATGAGGGGGGGTCCCCAAAAATGGGGGAAGGAATTTGGGGAGGGGTCTCACCGTGGGATCCTCCCTGGGGGGGAAAGAGAATTGTTAGAGACCCCCAAAATGGGTTAGAGACCCCCAAAATTGGGGTGGGGGATCCCAAATTGGGGAGGGGGATCCCGAAATTGGGGAGGGGGATTCCCAAAATGGGGGGGGGATCCCCAAAAATGGGGAGGGGGGATTTGGGGAGGGGTCTCACCGTGGGATCCTCCCTGGGGGGGGAAAGAATGGTTAGAGACCCCCAAATTGGGTTAGAGACCCCCAAAATGGGGAGGGGGACCCAAATTGGGGTGGGAGATCCTCAAAATGGGGAGGGGGACCCCCAAAATGGGGTGGGAGATCCCGAAATGGGGAGGGGGACCCCAAAATGGCCCCAAAATGGGGAGGGGGACCCCAAAATGGCCCCAAAATGGGGAGGGGGACCCCAAAATGGCCCCAAATTTGGGTGGAGACCCCCAAAATGGGGTGGGGGATCCCCAAAATGGGATGGGACCCCCAAATTGGGGAGGGGGACCCCAAAATGGGGTGGGGGACCCCCAAATTGGGGAGGGGGTCCCCAAAATGGGGAGGGGGATCCTTAAAATGGGGAGGGGGATCCCGAAATTGGGGTGGGGGTCCCCAAAATTGGGGAGGGGGATCCCAAAATGGGGAGGGGGACCCCAAAATGGGGTGGGGGTCCCCAAACATGGGGAGGGGGACCCCCAAAATGGGGAGGGGGATCCTTAAAATGGGGAGGGGGATCCCAAAATTGGGGTGGGGGATCCCAAAATGGGGAGGGGGATCCCAAAATGGGGAGGGGGACCCCCAAAATTGGGGAGGGGGATCCCCAAATTGGGGAGGGGGATCCCAAAATTGGGGTGGGGGACCCCAAATTGGGGTGGGGGACCCCAAAATGGGGTGGGGGACCCCAAAATGGGGAGGGGGTCCCCAAAAATGGGGGGGGGGAATTTGGGGAGGGGTCTCACCGTGGGATCCTCCCTGGGGGGGGAAAGAACGGTTAGAGACCCCCAAATTGGGGAGGGGGACCTAAAATGGGGTGGGGGACCCAAATTGGGGAGGGGGATCCCAAATTGGGGTGGGGGATCCCCAAAATGGGGTGGGGGACCCCCAAAATGGGGTGGGGGACCCCAAAAATGGGGGGGGGGATTTGGGGAGGGGTCTCACCGTGGGATCCTCCCTGGGGGGGAAAAGAATGGTTAGAGACCCCCAAATTGGGTTAGAGACCCCCAAAATGGGGTGGGGGACCCCAAAATGGGGAGGGGGATCCCAAAATGGGGTGGGGGACCCCCAAATTGGGGTGGGGGATCCCAAAATTGGGGAGGGGGATCCTTAAAATGGGGAGGGGGATCCCAAATTGGGGAGGGGGATCCCAAAATGGGGAGGGGGATCCCAAAAATGGGGAGGGGGATCCCCAAAATTGGGGTGGGGGAGCCCCAAAATGGGGAGGGGGATCCCAAAATGGGGAGGGGCATCCTTAAAATGGGGAGGGGGACCCCCAAATTGGGGAGGGGGATCCCCAAAATGGGGTGGGGGATCCCAAAAATGGGGAGGGGGATCCCCAAAATTGGGGTGGGGGAGCCCCAAAATGGGGAGGGGGACCCCAAAATGGGGAGGGGGACCCCAAAATGGCCCCAAAATTGGGGTGGGGGACCCCAAAATTGGGGAGGGGGACCCGAAATTGGGGAGGGGGTCCCCAAAATGGCCCCAAATTGAGGAGGGGGGACCCCAAATTTGGGTGCGACCCCCCCCCCGAGACCCCCACTCACATTTCAGCCATTCCGAAGCTTCTGGAAGACACGGGGGGGTCAGGTGAGGTCACGGGGGGGTCACGGGGGGTCACGGGGGGTCACGGGGGGTCACGGGGGGTCACGGGGGGTCACGGGGGGGCAGGGGGGGTCAGGAGACCCCTCCCCAAAATTCCAACCCGCCCCTCCCCCCCCCAAACCCGCCCCTGTTTGATAAGGGTTAAAAATAGTCCCTTATCAGCCCCTCCCCCACCCCGGGAACGGGACCGCCCCTCCCCCACCCCCCCCGTAAATAGCGCCAAGGGCAGCGAGGACACAGAGACCCCCCCCCAAAATTACCCAAAAAACAGAAAAATTGCCCCAAAATAACCCAAAAAACCCAAAAATTACCTCAAAAAAACCTAAAAATGCCTTAAATTACCCAAAAAATCCCTTAAATTACCCCAAAAAACCCCAAAAAACTCCAGAAATCCCCAAAAATCGCCCCAAAAACTCCCGGGACAGCGAGACCCCTCCCCAAAATAACCCAAAAACCCAAAAATCGCCCCAAAAAAATCCAAAATCCCAAAATCGCCTCAAAAAACCCTTATATTACCCAAAAAAATCCCTTAAATTACCCCAAAAAACCCCAAAAATCGCCCCAAAAACTCCCGGGACATCGAGACCCCCGCCCAAAAATACTCAAAAAACCAAAAATCGCCCCAAAAACCCCAAAAATCGCCCCAAAAAACCCTAAAAATGCCTTAAATTGCCCCAAAGAAACCAAAAATCGCCCCGAAAATCGCCCCAAAAAACCCCAAAATCCCTTAAATCACCCCAAAAAACCCCAAAAATCCCAAAAAAATCGCCCCAAAAATCCCAAAAATCGCCCCAAAAAACCCAAAAATCCCTTAAATTGCCCCAAAACCCCCGAAAATCCCTAAAATTACCCAAAAATCGCCAAAATCCCCCAAAATCCCGAAAAATCACCCCAAAAAAACCCAAAAATCCCTTAAACCGCCCCAAAACCCCCAAAAATCCCTTAAATCACCCCAAAAAAACCCCAAAAATCCCTTAAATTGCCCCAAAACCCCCGAAAATCCCTAAAATTACCCCAAAATCGCCAAAAATCCCCCAAAATCGCCCCCAAAATCGCCCCAAAAACTCCCGGGACACCGAGATCCCCCAAAAAAAAAACCCAAATCCCCAAAAATCGCCCCAAAAAACCCAAAAATCCCCAAAAAAACCCAAAAATCCCTTCAATCGCCCCAAAACTTCCCGGGACATTGAGACCCCCCCCAAAAAAAACCCAAAACCCCCAAAAATCCCTTAAATCGCCCCAAAACCTCCCGGGACACCGAGACCCCCCCCCAAAATATACCCAAAAAACCCAAAAATCACCCCAAAAACTACCGGGACATCGAGACCCCCCCCAAAAAAATCCCTAAAATCCCTTAAATCACCCAAAAAACCCCAAAAATCCCCAAAATCCCCAAAAAACGCCCCAAAACCCCCCGGGACCCCCTCCCCAAATCACCCCAAATCCCCCCAAAATCACCCCTAAACCCCCCTGGGACCCCCTCCCCAAATTACCCCAAATCCCCCCAAAATCACCCCCAAAACGCCTGGGACCCCCTCCCAAAAATTACCCTAAAATCACCCCAAAATCCCCCCAAAACCTCCTGGGACCCCCTCCCTAAATCCTCCCAAATCCTCCCAGGGACTTTGGGGCACTCGGGGACCCCCCGGGACCCCCCAAGACCCCCCAAAACCCCCCAAAATTCCCCAAAAACCCCCAAAACCCCCCAAAATCGGGACCCTCCCCCGGTACCTGCGGGACGCGGCCGTGGGAACGCGGCGGCGATTTATGAATGGGAGGGGGCGGGGCCTAAAGCGGGGGCGGGGCTAAGGAGGGGAGGGGGCGGGGCTATCGAGGGTGGGGGGCGGGGCTTAAAGGGGCGTGGGAGGGGTTTGGGGGATTTTTGGGGGGATTTTTGGGGGGATTTTTGGGGGGATTTTTGGGGGGATTTGGGCGAATTTTGGGGGTGTTTGAGGCGGGATAATTTGGGGAGGGGTCTCGGGGTGAGGGAGGGGAATTTGGGGAGGGGGTCTCAGGGCACTGTCAGGGTAATTTGGGGAGGGGTCTCGGAGGCATGAGGGGGATTTGGGTCTGATTTTGGGGGGTAATTTGGGGAGGGGTCTCAGGGCTCTTTGGGGTAATTTGGGGAGGGGTCTCAGGGCCATTTGGGGTAATTTGGGTCTGGGGTCTCAGGGCTATTTGGGGAGGGGTCTCAGGGCCCTTTGGGGTAATTTGGGTCTGGGGTCTCAGGGCTATTTGGGGAGGGGTCTCAGGGCTATTTGGGGTAATTTGGGTCTGGGGTCTCAGGAACAGGAAGAGGATTTGGGGGATAATTTTGGGAGGGGTCTCAGGGCTATTTGGGGTAATTTGGGTCGGGGTCTCAGGGCCGTTTGGGTTAATTTGGGTCTGGGGTCTCAGGGCTATTTAGGATAATTCGGGGAGGGGTCTCAGGGCCCTTTGGGGTAATTTGGGTCTGGGGTCTCCGCGCTCGGCCCCTTGCGGAAGCGCAGGTGGGCCGGGGGCTCCCCGGGCCCCCCCCAGGGCTCGAAGCCCCCCGCCCCCGCCAGAGCCGCCGCGCGCGCCCGCAGCGCCCCCAGCTGGGCGGGGCGGAGGGAGGGAACCAACCTGCAATTTGGGGAGGGGGCGTCACCGGGGTGGGGGAGGGGGGTCCAGGGGGGGGTTCGGGGAGGGGGCGTTAGTGGGGAGGGGGCTGGGCCGGGTTAATTTGGGTCTGGGGGCTCCAAGGGGGAATTTGGGGAGGGGGTGTTAATGGGGATGGGGGATCCAACGGGGGAATTTGGGGAGGGGGCGTCAGTGGGGATGGGGTCTGCTCCGTGTTAATGGGGAGGGGGTTCTAAGGGGGAATTCGGGTCTGGGGGCTCCAAGGGGGAATTTGGGGAGGGGGCGTCAGTGGGGTGGGGGAGCCGACGGGGGAATTTGAGGAGGGGGCTCTAAGGGGTTAATTTGGGGAGGGGGTGTTAATGGGGCTGGGGTCTGCTCCGTGTTAATGGGGAGGGGGTTCTAAGGGGGAATTCGGGTCTGGGGGCTCCAAGGGGGAATTTGGGGAGGGGGCGTCAGTGGGGTGGGGGAGCCAAGGGGGTAATTTGGGTCTGGGGGTGTTAATGGGGAATGCGGGCAGGGGGGTCCAGGGGGGAGTTTGGGGAGGGGGCTCGGCCGGGGGAATTCGGGTCTGGGGGTTCCAAGGGGGAATTTGGGTCTGGGGGCTTCAAGGGGTAATCCGGGTCTGGGGGCGTCACCGGGGAGTGCGGCAGGGGCTCCAAGGGGGAATTTGGGGCTGGGGGCTCCAAGGGGGAGTTTGGGGAGGGGGCGTTAATGGGGAAGGGGCTCTAAGGGGGAATTCGGGTCTGGGGGTTCCAAGGGGGATAATTCGGGTCTGGGGGCTCCAAGGGGTAATTTGGGTCTGGGGGCCGCTCAGGGTTAATTTGGGTCTGGGGGCGTTAATGGGTCTGGGGGCGTTAATGGGTCTGGGGGCTCGGCCGGGGGAATTTGGGTCTGGGGGCGTCAATCGGGATGGGGGATCCAACGGGGAAATTCGGGTCTGGGGGTTCTAAGGGGGCGTTTGAGGAGGGGGCGTTAATGGGGAGGGGGCTCGGCCGTAGTAATTTGAGTCTGAGGGATGCTCGGGGTTAATTTGGGGAGGGGGCGTTAATGGGGGCTGCTCCAGAGTAATTTGGGTCTGGGGGCGTTAATGGGGAGGGGGCTCGGCAGGGGGAATTTGGGTCTGGGGGTTCCAAGGAGGAATTTTGGGCTGGGGGCTCGGACGGGGGATTCGGGTCTGGGGGCTGCCCGGGGTTAATTTGGGTCTGGGGGTTCCAAAGGGGAATTTGGGGAGGGGGCGTCAGTCGGGAGGGGGGAGCCCTCGGGGGAATTTGGGTCTGGGGGTTCCAAGGGGGAATTCGGGTCTGGGGGGGTTAATTTGGGTCTGGGGGCGTTAACGGGGTTAATTTGGGTCTGGGGGCGTTAATTCGGGTCTGGGGGGGGTTAATTTGGGTCTGGGGGCGTTAATTTGGGTCTGGGGGGGGTTAATTTGGGTCTGGGGGCGTTAATTTGGGTCTGGGGTCTCTCGGGGTTAATTTGGGTCTGGGGGCGTTAATTTGGGTCTGGGGTCTCTCGGGGTTAATTTGGGTCTGGGGGCGTTAATTTGGGTCTGGGGTCTCCCGGGTTAATTTGGGTCTGGGGGCGTTAATTTGGGTCTGGGGGGGTTAATTTGGGTCTGGGGTCTCCCGGGTTAATTTGGGTCTGGGGTCTCCAGGGGTAATTTGGGTCTGGGGGTGTTAATTTGGGTCTGGGGGCGTTAATTTGGGTCTGGGGGCGCTCGGGTTAATTTGGGTCTGGGGGCGTTAATTCGGGTCTGGGGGGGTTAATTTGGGTCTGGGGTCTCTCAGGTTAATTTGGGTCTGGGGGCGCTCGGGTTAATTTGGGTCTGGGGGCGGTAATTTGGGTCTGGGGGCGTTACTCACGTCGGCAGCTCCACCAACAGCGTCGCCCCCGGAGCCGCCAAAGCCGCGAGCGCGGGAGAGAGAGCGGGGAGGGACCTGCGACCCCAGACCCAATTCAGAGAGAGACCCCAGACCCAATTCAGAGTGAGAGCGGGGAGAGACCTGCGACCCCAGACCCAATTCACGGTGAGACCCCAGACCCAATTCAGAGCGAGACCCCAGACCCAATTCGGGACCCCCAAACCTCCCCCTGTGAGACCCCAGACCCAATTCAGAGTGAGAGCGGGGAGGGACCTGAGACCCCAGACCCAAATTAACCCGAGCGCCCCCAGACCCAATTCGGGACCCCTGTGAGACCCCAGACCCAATTCGGGAGTGAGAGCGGGGAGGGACCTGCGACCCCAGACCCAATTCAGAGTGAGAGCGGGGAGGGACCTGAGACCCCAGACCCAAATTAACCCGAGCGCCCCCAGACCCAATTCAGGACCCCCAAATCCCCCCAGAGACCTGCGAGACCCCAGACCCAATTCAGAGTGAGACCCCAGACCCAATTCACAGTGAGACCCCAGACCCAATTCAGAGTGAGACCCCAGACCCAATTCACAGTGAGACCCCAGACCCAATTCAGGGTGAGAGCGGGGAGGGACCTGAGACCCCAGACCCAATTCACAGTGAGACCCCAGACCCAAATTACACCTGTGAGACCCCAGACCCAATTCGGGACCCCAGACCCAATTCAGAGTCAGAGCGGGGAGGGACCTGAGAGACCCCAGACCCAATTCAGAGTGAGACCCCAGACCCAATTCGGGACCCCAGACCCAATTCAGAGTGAGAGCGGGGAGGGACCTGAGAGACCCCAGACCCAATTCAGAGTGAGACCCCAGACCCAATTCGGGAGTGAGAGCGGGGAGGGACCTGAGACCCCAGACCCAATTCGGGAGTGAGAGCGGGGAGGGACCTGCGACCCCAGACCCAAATTACACCGGGGAGACCCCAGACCCAATTCGGGACCCCCACGAGACCCCAGACCCAATTCGGGACCCCCAAACCTCCCCCCGCAGAGACCCCAGACCCAATTCGGGACCCCCAAACCTCCCCCAGCAGCGCCCTGCGAGACCCCAGACCCAATTCGGGGCTGCTTTAGGATCCCCAAATCCTCCCCCGGGATCCCCAAAACCTCCTCCAGACACCCCCAGACCCCCCAAATTTTCACCCGGGACCCCCAAATCTCCCCCCAGAGCCCCCCAAAAGCTCCCCCAAAACACCTCCGGGACCCCCAAACCTCTCCCCAAAACCTCCCCCAGACCCCCCAGACCCCCTCAAACCTCCCCCAGACCCCCCAAGCCCCCCAGCGGGACCCCCAAAACCTCCCCCAAACCCCCAAAAGCTCCCCCAGACATCCCCCCAAATCCCCCCCAGACTCCCCAAATCCCCCCCCAGGACCCCCCAAAACCTCCCCCAGATCTCCCAAATCCTCCCCCAAACCGCCCCAGACCCCCCAAATCCTCCCTCAGGACCCCCAAAGTCCCCCCAGAAGCCCCCAACCCCCCCAAACCTCCCCCAAACCCCCCCAGACACCCCCAGACCCCCCCCAAATTTTCACCCGAGACCCCCAAACGTCCCCCCAAACCTCTCCCAGCCCCCTCCGGGACCCCCAAATCTCTCCCCAGCCCCCCCAAATCCTCCCTCAGGACCCCCAAAACCTCCCCCAAAGCCCCCCCAGACCCCCCCAAAACCACCCCTAGAGCCCCCAGGACCCCCCAGAACTTCCCCGAAGCCCCCCCAAAGTCCCCCGGGACCCCCCAGACCCCCCCAATCCTCCCCCGGGACCCCCCAAATCCCCCCCAAATCCCCTCCCAGACCCCCCAAATCTCCCCCCAGACCCCCCAAAACGTGCCCCAAATCCCCCCAAAACCTCCCCCACGCCCCCCGTGACCCCCAAAACCTTCCTCAGGACCCCCAAATCCTCCCCCAGACCCCCCAAATCCTCCCAAAACCTCTCCCAGACACCCCAAGACCTCCCCCAACCCCCTCCGGGACCCCCAAATCTCCCCCCAGACCCCACAAAACCTCTCCCAGACCCCCCCCAAATCCTCCTCCGGGACCCCCAAACCCCCCAAAATCTCCCCCAAAAACCTCCCCGGGACCCTCAAAACCTCCCTCAAACCCCCCCGGGACCCCCCAAACCTCCCCCAAACCCCCCAAAACCTCCCCCAAACCCCCCAAATCTCCCCCAGACCCCCCCAAATCTGCCCCAAGGCCCCCCACAACCTCCCCCAAGACCCCCAAATCCTCCCTCAGGACCCCCAAAATCTCCCCCCAAACCTCCCCCAAACACCCCCAGACCCCCCAAATTTTCCCCCTGGACCCCCAAACCTCCCCCAGACCCCCCAAACCCCCCCAAACCCCCCCCTTGGGACCCCCGCCCACCTCCAGCCCAGCACCAGCAGTTGGCAGCGCCCCCCGAGGCGGGCGGGGGTCGCGGGGGGGTCCCCGAGGGGCAGAAAACGGATCCGGATCGGCAGCGGAGCCAACGGCCCTGGGGGGGAAATTTGGGGGGTCTTGGGGGGTCCTGGGGGAGATTTAGGGGGGATTTGGGGGGTCTGGGGGGGATTTGGGGGGTCTGGGGGGATTTGGGGGAAGATTTGGGGGGTTTGGGGGAGATTTGGGGGGTCTTGGGGGGTCTTGGGGGGGATTTGGGGGGTCCTGGAGGGGATTTGGGGGGTCCTGGGGGAGATTTGGGGGGTCCTGGGGGGGATTTGGGGGAGATTTGGGGGGTCTGGGGGGGAATTGGGGGGTCTGGGGGAGATTTGGGGGGTCTGGGGGGGATTTGGGGGAGATTTGGGGGGTCCCGGGGGGGTTTTTGGGGGGTCACTCACCCAGCGGGTCGGAATCCTCACCGGGGGGGTCCCGCTCCCCATTTTGGGGGTCCCGGTCCCCATTTTGGGGGTCCCCATTTTGGGGGGGGTCCCCGTTTTGGGGGGGGTCCCCATTTTGGGGGGGGTCCCCATTTTGAGGGGGGTCCCCATTTTGGGGGTCCCGGTCCCCTTTTTGGGGGTCCCGGTCCCTATTTTGGGGGGGGTCCCCATTTTGGGGGTCCCGGTCCCCATTTTGGGGGTCCCGCTCCCCATTTTGGGGGTCCCGATCCCCATTTTGGGGGTCCCCAGCCCCATTTTGGGGGTCCCCCCCCGTGAGCAGCTCCCGCAGCAGCTCCGTGACCGCGGCCAGGGACAGTTCGGTGGCGCTCTGGGGGGGTGGGGAGGGGTCCCTGAGAGACCCCCCCCAAAATAAACCCCCAAATAACACCCCGAATGAGACCCCCCCCCAAAATAAACCCCCAAATAACCCCCCCAAAATAAACCCCCAAAATAACCCCGAATGAGACCCCCCACCCAAAATAAACCCCCCCAAAAAAAACCCCAAAATAAACCCCCAAAATAACCCCAAATAACCCCAAAAACCCCCAAATAACCCCCCAAATAACCCTCCCAAATGAGACCCCTCCCCAAAATAACCCCCAAAATAACCCCCCAAATGAGACCCCCCCCAAAATAAACCCCCAAAATAAACCCCCAAATAAACCCCCCCAAAAAATCCCCCCCCAAAAACCCCCAAAATAAACCCCCCAAAAAAAACCCCAAAATAACCCCCAAAATAAACCCCCCAAATAACCCCCCCAAATGAGACCCCCCCAAAAAAAACCCCCCAAAAAAAACCCAAAAAAACCCCAAAATAAACCCCCAAATAACCCCAAAATAACCCCAAAATAAACCCCAAAAAAACCACAAAAATAACCCCCAAATAACCCCAAAAAACCCCAAATAACCCCCAAATAACCCCAAAATAACCCCAAATAACCCCCAAAAACCTCCATTAACCCACCCCAAAATAACCCCAAATAACCCCAAAATAACCCCAAAATAACCCCCCAAAAAAACCCCAAATAACCCCAAAACACCCAAAAAAAACCCAAAAAAACCCAAATCGCCCCCAAACAACCCCAAAAAACCCCCAAAAAACAAAAAAAAACCCCAAAAAAACCCCAAAAAACCCCAAAAAACCCCAAATCGTTCCCCCCGCCCCTCCCCCACCTGCGGTCGGTCCCGGTTCCCGCCGCCGCCGAGGCCGAAGGCGATGAACGGTCCGGTGGCGATGTCCCCCCAATAGGCGGGGGGGGACACCGAGTGCCCGTCCTGGGGGCACGGCGGCCGGTGACACCCCCGGTGACCCCCCCGGTGACCCCCGGTGTCCCCCCGGTGTCCCCCCATGACCCCCACGGTAACCTCCGGTAACTCCCCGTGATCCCTCCGGTGACCCCCGGTAACCGCCGGTGACCTCCCTGGTAACCCCCGGTGACCCCCCGGTAACTCCCGGTATCCCCCGGTGACCCCCGGTGACCTCCGGTGTCCCCCCATGACCCCCTGGTGACCTCCGGTGTCCCCGGGTGACCCTCCGGTGACCCCCCATGACCCCCCCGGTGACCTCCGGTGACCCCCCCCGGTAACCCCTGGTCAGCCCCGGTGTCCCCCGGTGTCCCCCGATGTCACCCGGTGTCTCCCGGTATCCTCCGGTGACCCCCCCGGTAACTCCCGGTATCCTCCGGTAACCCCCGGTAACCCCTGGTGACCCTCCGGTATCCCCCGGTAACTCCTGGTGTCCCTCGGTAACGCCCGGTAACCCCCAGTGACCCCCGGTGACCCCCCCGGTGTGCCCCGGTGACCCCCCCCGGTATCCTCTGGTGTTCCCCGGTATCCTCCGGTGACGCCCGGTAACCCCCGTTAACCCCCACAGTGACCCCGGTGACCTCCGGTGACCCCCCGTTATCCCCCGTTATCCCCGTTATTCCCGTTATCCCCCCGTTTTTTCCCCGTTATTTCCCCGTTTTTTCCCCGTTATTTCCCCGTTATTCCCGTTATTCCCGTTATCCCCCCCCTTATTCCCGTTTTCCCCGTTATTCCCATTATTTCCCCGTTATCCTCCCGTTATTCCCGTTATTCCCGTTATCCCTCCGTTATTTTCCCGTTATTTCCCCGTTATTTCCCCGTTTTCCCCCCGTTATTCCCATTTTTTCCCTGTTATCCCCCGGTATTCCCGGTACTCCCGTTCCTCCCGGTGCTCCCGGTGCACTCACGGCGCGGGGCCGGGGGTCGCTCAGCACCGTCGGGTTCGGGGTCGCTCCGCCCCCCCCGAAGGCGGTTCCGGTTTCCCGCCAGAGGCGGAACTCCTCCGGTGACACCGACGCGGCCTTGGGGACACCGGGGGGACAGCCGGGTTACCGGGGGGATAACGGGGACACCGGGGGAGGGGCGGAGGTGGTCCCCCGGTGCCCTCCGGGATTTACCGGGAGATCCCCGCTGGCCCCGCCCCGTTCCCGGTGTCCGCCCGGTGTCCCCGTTATTCCCTCCCCGGTGTCCCCCTGGTGTCCCCGTTATCCTGGTGTCCTGTTATACCCCCGTTATCCCGGTGTCCCGGTGTCCTCCCGGTGTCCCCCCCAGTGTCCCCGTTATCCCCGTTATGCCCACGGTGTCTCCGTTATCCCCCCGGTGCCTCCCCAGTGTTCCCTCCCGTTCCCGTTATTCCCCCGGTGTTCCCGTTATGCCCCCGGTGTCCCCCCGGTGTCCCCTCCCCCGTTATCCCATTATCCCGTTATCCCGGTGTCCCCGGTATCCCCCCGTTATCCCCGATGTCCCCTCCCTGTCTCCGTTATTCCCCCGGTGTCCCTCCGGTGTCCCCTCCCCGTCCCCGGTATCCCGCCCCGTCCCGGTGTCCCGCCGGTTCCGCCGTTATCCCTGGTGTCCCCCCGGTGTTTCCCCGGTGTCCCCGTTATCCCCCCGGTGTTCCCTCCCCGGTGTCCCTCCCCGTTATCCCCGTTATTCCCCCGGTGTCCCTCCCCATCCCCACTGTCCCCTCCCCGGTGTTCCCCCGGTGTCCCCGGTATCTCGGCTGTCCCCGGTGTCCCCCCGTTATCCCCGTTATCCCCCCCGGTGTCCCCTCGGTGTCCCCGTTATCCCCGATGTTCCCCCGGTGTCCCCTCCCGGTGTCCCCTCCCTGTCCCCGGTGTCCCCTCCCCTGTTCCCGTTATCCCCCCGGTGTCCCATCCCTGTTCCCACCCCGTCCCCGGTGCCCCCCCCGTTATCCCCCCGTTATCCCCGTTATTCCCGTTATCCCGTTATTCCCCCGTTATTCCCCCGTTATCCCGTTATCCCCCGTTATCCCCCGTTATCCCCCGTTATTTCCCCGTTATTTCCCCGTTATTCCCGTTATTCCCGTTATTTCTCCATTATTTCCCCGTTATTCCCCCGTTATTCCCGTTATCCCGTTATCCCGTTATCCCCCGTTATCCGTTATCCCCGTTCCTCCCCCGTTATTCCCGTTATCCCGGTACCGCCGTTACCCCGCGGGGCCGCAGCGCCATCTGCAGTTCCCAATCCGCCACCGCCGCGCGGGCCTCGAACCGGGCCCCGAACCGCCGCCGCAGCCTCCGGTCCCACCCCGGGGGCGCCGGTACCGGCCCCGGTTCCGCCTCCGGTACCGGCCCCGGTTCGGCCCCCGGTACCGGCAGCGCCCGTTCCCAACGCCGCAGCACCGCCTCCAGCGCGTCCCGGTCCCGGCACTGCGGGAGGGGCGGCCGGTACCGGAAAGAACCGGAACCGGTACCGGGCAGAACCGGGACTCGGTACCGGTACCGGGACCCTGAGTTCCGGTACCGGCACTGCGGGAGGGCGGCCGGTACCGGACAGCACGGGGATTCGGTACCGGACAGCACCGGGACTGTGAGTTCCAGTACCGGACAGCACCGGGACCCAGCACCCGATACCGGAGAGCACCGGGACCCGCTACCGGTACCGGACAGCACCGGGAGCCGGTACCGGACAGAACCGGGGCCCCCCAGAGCCGGTACCAGACAGCACCGGGACTCTGAGTTCCGGTACCGGGTAGCACCGGGACCCTCAGAGCCGGTACCGGACAGCACCGGGAGCCGGTTACCGGACAGCACCGGGAACCGGTACCGGTACCGGTCAGAACCGGAACCCACCATCCGGTACCGGGCAGAACCGGGACTCGGCTCCCGGTACCGGACAGCACCGTGACCCTCAGAGCCGGTACCGGACAGCACCGGGAGCCGGTACCGGTACCGGGCAGAACCGGAACCGGTACCGGACAGAACCGGGACTCGGCTTCCGGTACCGGACAGCACCGGGACCCGGTACCGGACAGCACCGGGAGCCGGTACCGGGCAGAACCGGGATTCGGTACCGGGCAGAACCGGGGCTGGTACCGGACAGCACCGGGACTTTGAGTTCCGGTCCCGGCACTGCGGGAGGGGCAGCCGGTACCGGACAGAACCGGGATTCGGTACCGGACAGAACCGGGAGCCGGTACCGGTACCGGACAGCACCGGGACCCCCAGAGCCGGTACCGGGCAGCACCGGGAGCCGGTACCGGGCAGAACCGGAACCGGTACCGGGCAGCACCGGGACTCTGAGTTCCGGTACCGGGCAGAACCGGGACTCGGCTTCCGGTACCGGACAGCACCGGGACCCTCAGAGCCGGTACCGGACAGAACCGGGACACTGAGTTCCGGTACCGGAAAGAACCGGGACTTGGCTTCCGGTACCGGACAGAACCGGGACACTGAGTTCCGGTACCGGACAGCACCGGGACTTGGCTTCCGGTACCGGACAGAACCGGGAGCCGGAACCGGTACCGGGCAGAACCGGGACCCTCAGAGCCGGTACCGGACAGCACCGGGACTCTGAGTTCCGGTACCGGACAGCACCGGGAGCCGGTACCGGGCAGAACCGGGAACCGGTACCGGACAGCACCGGGAGCCGGTACCGGTACCGGGCAGCACCGGGACTCTGAGTTCCGGTACCGGACAGCACCGGGAGCCGGTACCGGGCAGAACCGGGAACCGGTACCGGACAGCACCGGGAGCCGGTACCGGTACCGGGCAGCACCGGGACTCTGAGTTCCGGTACCGGACAGAACCGGGAGCCGGTACCGGACATCACCAGTGAGCAGGCCCCCGGTACCGGACAGTCCAAGTGTCCCGGTCCCGGTACCGGACAGTCTCTGTGTTCTGGCACCCGGTACCGGCCAGCCGCGCTCTCCCGGTATCCCCTGGTACCGATGACCCGGTACCGCTCAGTCCCGGTGTCCCGCCCCGATCGGTACCGGTCAGTCCCGGTGTCCCGCCCCGCTGCCCCGATCAGTCCCGGTCAGTCCCGATCGGTCCCGGTGTCCCGCCCCGGTCGGTCCCGGTCAATCCCGGTCGGTCCCGATCAGTCCCGGTCCCGGTGCCCCTCCCCGGTTAGTCCCGGTGTCCCCGGTCCCGGTGTCCTTCCCCAGTCAGTCCCGGTGTCCCGCCCTGGTCGGTCCCGCCCCGCCGCCCCGATCGGTCCCGGTGTTCCCGGTGTCCCGCCCCGGTCAGTCCCGCTGTTCCCGGTCAGTCCTGGTGTCCCTCCCTGATCGGTCCCGGTGTCCCTCCCCGGTCAGCCCCAGCCAGTCCCGGTCGGTCCCGTTGTCCTGCCCCGCTGCCCCGGTCGGTCCCGGTCTTCCCGGTGTCCCTCCCCGGTCGGTCCCACCGCCCGCCCCGGTCAGTCCCGGTGTTCCCGGTGTCCCTCCCCGGCCGCTCTCGGTGTCCCCGGTCAGTCCCGGTCAGTCCAATCGGTCCCGGTGTCCCTCCCCGGTCAGTCCCGGTGTTCCCGGTCAGTCCCGGTCGGTCCCGATCGGTCCCGGTGTCCCGCCCCGGTCAGCCCCGGTCAGTCCCGGTCCCGGTGTCCCGCCCTGGTCAGTCCCGGTGTCCCTCCCCGGTCGGTCCCTCCCCGCCCGGTCCCGGTGTCCCCGGTCCCGGTGTCCCGCCCCGCCGCCCTGATCAGTCCCGGTGTCCCTCCCTGGTCACTCCCGGTCAGTCCCGGTGTCCCCGGTCCCGGTGTCCCTCCCCGGTCAGCCCCGGTCAGTCCCGGTGTCCCTCCCCGGTGTTCCCGGTCCCGCCGCCTCGGTCAGTCCTGGTGTCCCGCCCCGCCCGGTCCCGCCCTGGTCAGTCCCGGTCAGTCCCGGTGTCCCACCCCGGTGTCCCTCCCCGCCCGGTCCCGGTGTCCCTCTCCGGTCAGTCCCGGTGTTCCGCCCCACCGCCCTGATCGGTCCCGGTCACTCCCGGTCCCGGTCCCGGTCCCGGTGCCCGGTTCTGACCTTCATGAGGCGGAGATCGGCGGGTCCGTCCCGTTCCCGTTCCCGGTCCCGGGGCGGGTCCCGGTGCCGCTCGAGGCGGACCCAGCGGCGGAGCCGCGCGGCGGTACCGGAGAGCAGCGCCGCCGTTCCCGAGCGCAGCGACCCCGAACCGAACAGCTCCAACAGCGCCGCCGCGCGGGCTGGGAACCGGACACCGGCGGGAACGGGGGGTTAACGGGGGTTAACGGGGGAACCGGGGGTTAACGGGGGAACCGGACACCGGGACACCGGGGGAATGGGGAAAACGGGGGTTAACGGGACATCATGGACAGTGGGACACCGGGAGGGAACCGGGGGGTTAACGGGGGAACCGGAGAACCGGGGGGGAACGGGGAAAACCGGAGAACTGGGGGTTAACGGGGTTAACGGGGGAAACCGGGGGGAACGGGACACTGGGACACCGGGGGGGTTAACGGGGGGAACGGGGAGAACCGGGGGAAACCGAGGAGTTAATGGGGCGGAACGGGGAGAACCGGGGGGGAACGGGGGGAACCGGGACACCGGGACACCGGGAGGGAACCGGGGATTAACGGGGGGAACCGGGACATGGGGAAAATGGTGGAAACCGGGGGTTAACGGGGGGAACCGGAAAACCGGGGGTTAACGGGGGTTAATGGGGGTTAACGGGGGATTAACGGGGGAACGGGGGGAATGGGGGAATGGGGCAAAAGGGGGAACCGGGAAAATCGGGGAAACCGGGGGTTAACGGGGGGTTAACGGGGCTTAACGGGGACACCGAGACACCGGCAGGAAACGGGGTTAACGGGGGAAACCGGGCTTAACGGGACATCCGGGACAGCAGGACACCGGGAGGGGCACCGGGAGCCAGGGGGGTCACCGGGGGGTCACCGGGAGGGTCACCGGGAGGGTCACCGGGTCACCGGAGGGGTCACCGGGACAGCGGAGGGACCCCTGGAGGGGCACCGGGAGCCGGGAAGTCACCGGAGGGGTCACCGGGGTGTCACCGGGACACCGGAGGTGTCACCGGAAGGGTCACCGGGGTGTCACCGGGGTGCCACCGGGATCCGGTGTGCCGGTACCTGCGGGCCGGGGCCGCTCCGGTGCCTCCAGCGCCAGCAGCAGGAACAGCAACTGCCGCGCCACCGGCTCCGGGCTCCGCTCGGCCACGAACAGCTGCGGGAGCACCGGAGAGCTCCGCTGCCACCGGGACGGCACCGGAGAGCACCGGGACAGCACCGGAGTGGGAGTTTCACCCATCCCGGCGCTCTGCGGGCCCGCCATACCGATCCCGGTGCCCGGTCCGCCCCTCCCGGTGTCCCTCCCGGTGTCCCTCCCGGTGTCCCTCCCGGTGTCCCTCCCGGTGTCCCCTCCCGGTTCCGGTCCGTACGGTGGTGTCGCGGGGCTCTCCCCGCCGGGCCCGCGCCGCCGTCATCAGCAGGTGCCGCCCCTCCGCCGCCCCCACCAGCAGCACCGACGCCTCCGCCGCCGGTTCCGCCGGGACTGCGGGAACCGGGAGAGGAGCGGCGGTTACCGGGAGCACCGGAAGGGCGGCGGGAGCGGCGCGGGGGGCGCGGGGCTCACGGTAGAGGCGGAGATCGAGCGCCGGGGACAGTCCCCACCAGCACACGGTGCCCGCCGCCTCCTCCAGCGCCGCCGCCATGGCGGAGCCGCACCGGGCCCGGTAACGGCCGCTGACCAATCAGCGGAGCCGCTCAGCGCCGCGCTGACCAATGAGCAGCGAGAGCGCCCGCGGGAACAGCGCCTGACCAATCAGAGGCGGGAGCGCGCGGGGAAGTCCCGCCCACAAGGACGCGGTTGCCGCGGTAACAACGACGCGGCCACGCCCACAATCACCATAGCAACGACGCTCATTAGCATAACCACACCTCTTTATTAACATAACCACACCTCTTTATTAGCATAGCCACGCCCCCTCCCGCGCTCCCGCCGCTGAATTTGGGGAATTTTGGGGTTTTTTCCCATTTTTCTCCTTTTCGGTGCCGCCCCCGCCGCTTTTTTCGCCCCAAACCCCCGACAGAGACCGGCCCGGGCGGCGCCCGCGGGTTTTGGGGGTTTTTGGGGGAATTTTGGGGGTTTTTGGGGCGGTTTTGGGGGAATTTTGGGCGGTTTTGGGGGAATTTTGGGGCGGTTTTGGGGGAATTTTGGGGGAATTTTGGGCGGTTTTGGGGTCATCGGTCCATGGTGGATTCCTCGGGGGGGGTCTCGAAGCAGAGCTGCAACAGCCGCTCGCAGAATTCCAGTTCCTCCTGCGGGGGGAAAAACAGCCTCAAAATCCCGGGAATTTGCCCCAAAATCCTGAGGCTTCATTTGCCCAAAATCTCCAGGATTTATGCCCAAAAATCTCCCAAATTCTCCTCAAAATCTCAGACATTTCCCCCTCTAAAATCCCACAGATCACCCGCCCAAAATCCCAGGTTTTCCCCCCAAAAAATCGCATTATTCACGCCCCAAAATTCCCGGATTTCACCCAAAAACCCCCTGGAATTTCTCCCCCAAATTTGCAGGATTTCACCCCAAAATCCCCCGGAATTTCTCCGACAAATTCGCAGCATTTCACCCCAAAACGCTCTGGAATTTTCCCTCTTTGGCTTTTGCCCAATCCTGCAGGATTTTCCCCCAAACCCCACCTGGAAATTCCCCATTTGGGTTTTGCCCAAATTCGCAGAATTTCACCCCAAAATCCCCCGGAATTTCTCTCCCAAATTCTCAGGATTTCACCCCAAAATCCCCCGGAATTTCTCCCCCAAATTCTCAGGATTTCACCCCAAAATCCCCCAGGATTTCTCCCCCAAATTCTCAGCATTTCACCCCAAAATCCCCTAAAATTTCTCCCCCAAATTCTCAGCATTTCACCCCAAAATTCTCTGGAATTTCTCCCCCAAATTCTCAATATTTCACCCCAAAATCCCCCGGATTTTCTCCCCCAAATTCTCAGCATTTCACCCCAAAATCCCCCGGAATTTCTCCCCCAAATTTTTAGGATTTCACCCCAAAATCCCCCGGAATTTCTCCCCCAAATTCTCAGGATTTCACCCCAAAACTCACCTGGAATTTCTCCCCCAAATTCGCAGCATTTCACCCCAAAATCCCCCCGGAATTTCTCCCCCAAATTCTCAGCATTTCACCCCAAAATCCCCCGGAATTTCTCCCCAAAATTCTCAGCATTTCACCCCAAAATCCCCCGGAATTTCTCCCCCAAATTCTCAGGATTTCACCCCAAAATGCTCTGGAATTTCTCCCTCAAATTCTCAGCATTTCACCCCAAAATTCCCCGGAATTTCTCCCCCAAATTCTCAGGATTTCACCCCAAAATCCCCCGGAATTTCCCCTTCAAATTCTCAGGATTTCACCCCAAAATCCCCCGGAATTTCTCCCCCAAATTCTCAGCATTTCACCCCAAAATCCCCCAGAATTTCTCCCCCAAATTCTCAGGATTTCACCCCAAAATATCCCGGAATTTCTCCCCCAAATTCTCAGCATTTCACCCCAAAATCCCCCCGGAATTTCTCCCCCAAATTCTCAGGATTTCACCCCAAAATCCCCCGGAATTTCTCCCCCAAATTCTGAGGATTTCACCCCAAAATCCCCCCGGAATTTCTCCCCCAAATTCGCAGGATTTCACCCCAAAACTCACCTGGAATTTCTCACCCAAATTCTCAGGATTTCACCCCAAAATCCCCCGGAATTTCTCCCTCAAATTCGCAGCATTTCACCCCAAAACGCTCTGGAATTTCCCCTCTTTGGCTTTTACCCAAAACTCCCGGATTTCACCCCAAAACCTCCGGGATTTCCTGCGGTTGTTTTTTTGCCCAAAATCTGCGGATTTAGCCCCAAAACTCACCTGGAATTGGTCGTGGCCCTTCAGCTGCTCCCGGCGCTGCCTCAGGAGCTGCTCCAGCCCCAGCGCGGGATCGCGGCACTCCCGGAGCCCCTCGGGGCTGCCCGCGGCCAAACTGGGGCGAAAAACGGCGATTTTGGGCAAATTCGCACAGACAGGGCAAACACCACCCAAAACGGCCCCAAAATCACACAAAACGGCCCCAAAAATCCCCCAAAACAGCCCCAAAATTCCCCCCAAACCAGGTCCCGGCACTCCCGGAGCCCCTCGGGGCTGCCCGCGGCCAAACTGGGGCGAAAAACGGCGATTTTGGGCAAATCCAACAGAGAAATGGTAAAAATCACCCAAAACAGCACAAAACCGCCCAAAAATCACACGAAAATCCCCCCAAAATCCCCCCAAACAGCCCCAAATATCCCCCCCAAACCAGGTCCCGGCACTCCCGGAGCCCCTCGGGGCTGCCCGCGGCCAAACTGGGGCGAAAAACGGCGATTTTGGGAAAATTCAACAGGGAAACGGTAAAAATCACCCAAAACAGCCCAAAATCACACAAAAATCACACAAAAAACCACCAAAAAATCCCCCAAAACAGCCCCAAAAATCACTCAAAAATCCCCCCAAAACCAACCAAAATGGCCCCAAAAATCAACCAAAACGGCTCCAAAATCACCCCAAAATTACCCAAAAATCACCCAAAAACGGCCAAAAAATTGCCCCAAAATCACCCAAAACCCACCCAAAAAACACCCCAAAATTACCCAAAAATCACCCAAAAAACACCCAAAAAATTGCCCCAAAATCACCCAAAAATCAGCCCAAAATTCCCGAAAAATCACCCAGAAATTATCACCCAAAATCTGCCCAAAAACCACCAAAACTGCCCCAAAAAACACCCAAAATTTCCCAAAAATCACCCAAAATCTCTCCAAACCATCCCAGGACCACCAGATTTTGGGATTTCCCCCTAAATTTTGGGATTTCCCCCAGATTTTGGGAATTTTTATGGGATTTTTTTGGGGTTTTTCCCCCAGAATTTTTGTGGTTTTTTTCCCCGGAATTTCAGGGATTTTTGGGGGATTTTTGGGGGATTTTTGGGAATTCTTTCCCCCAAATTTTAATTTTTTTTTTATTTTCCCAGGATTTTGGTTTTTTTTCCAGGATTTTTTGGATTTTTTCCCAGGAATTTCAGTGATTTGAAAAACCCAAATTTTGGTTTTTTTTGGGTGATTTTGGGTGTTTTTGGGTATTTTGGGGAGGGGTCTCACCTACACAGGACCCCCAGCCCCTCCCCTTTTCTGGGCATTTTCCCCCAAATTTTGCTTATTTTTCCCGGAATTTTTGGATTTTTTTACCCCAGAATTTCAGGGATTTGAAAAACCCAAATTTTGGTTAATTTTGGGTGATTTTGTGTTGTTTTGGGTATTTTGGGGAGGGGTCTCACCTGCACAGGACCCCCAGGCCCCACCCCCTCCCCTTTTCTGGGTGTTTTCCCCCAAATTTTGACATTTTTTCCCTGAATTTTTGGGATTTTTTCCCAGGAATTTCAGGGATTTGAAAAACCCAAATTTTGGTTAATTTTGGGTGATTTTGGGGTATTTTGGGTATTTTGGGGAGGGGTCTCACCTGCAGAGGACCCCCACCCCCTCCCATTTCTGGGCGTTTTTCCCCATTTTTGACGTTTTTTCCCAGGATTTTTGGGGGTTTTTCCCAGGAATTTCAGTGATTTGAAAAACCCAAATTTTGGTTAATTTTGGGTGATTTTGGGTGTTTTTGGGTATTTTGGGGAGGGGTCTCACCTGCACAGGACCCCCAGGCCCTCCCCTTTTCTGGGCGTTTTTCCCCATTTTTAACGTTTTTTCCCGGAATTTTGGGATTTTTTCCCAGGAATTTCAGGGATTTGAAAAACCCAAATTTTGGGTTTTTTTGGGTTATTTTGGGGGATTTTGGGTATTTTGGGGAGGGGTCTCACCTGCACAGGACCCCCACGCCCTCCCCTTTTCTGGGCATTTTCCCCCAAATTTTGGTGTTTTTTCCCGGAATTTTGGGGTTTTTTAACCCCAGAATTTCAGGGATTTTGGGGATTTTGGGGGATTTGGGTTATTTTGGGTGATTTTGGGTGTTTTTGGGTATTTTGGGGAGGGGTCTCACCTGCACAGGACCCCCACCCCCTCCCCTTTTCTGGGTGTTTTCCCCCAAATTTTGCTGATTTTTCCCAGGATTTTTTGTTTTTTTTCCCAGGAATTTCAGGGATTTGAAAAACCCAAATTTTGGTTAATTTTGGGTGATTTTGGGTGGTTTTGGGTATTTTGGGGAGGGGTCTCACCTGCACAGGACCCCCAGGCCGTGCTCGTGGGCCCCGTCGTGCTCCGAGCGCAGCAGCGCCGCCGCCCGCGGCACCAGACCCTGCTGCAGCAGCGGCCCTGGTTTGGGGCGAAAAACGGGGATTTTGGGCAAATTCGGGTTTGGGGGGAAAATGGGGGTTTGGGTAAATGAGGGTTTGGGGCGAAAAACGGTGATTTTGGGTAAATGCGGGTTTGGGGGGAAAATGGGGGTTTGGGGGGAAAAATGGGGATTTTGGGTCATTGTGGGTTCAAGGGGAAAATGGGGATTTGGGGCGAAAAACCGCGATTTTGGGCAAATCCGGGTTCGGGGGGAAAATGGGGGTTTGGGGCGAAAAACGGGGATTTTGGGCAAATGTGGGTTTGGGGGAAAAATGGGGATTTGGGGGGAAAAACGGGGATTTGGGGCCAAAAACGGCGATTTTGGGCAAATCCGGGTTCGGGGGGAAAAACGGCGATTTTGGGCAAATCCGGGTTTGGGGGGAAAAACGGCGATTTTGGGCAAATGATGGTTTGGGGGGAAAAACGGCGATTTTGGGCAAATCCGGGTTCGGGGGGAAAAACGGCGATTTTGGGCAAATCCGGGTTCGGGGGGAAATGGGGATTTGGGGGGAAAAACGGGGATTTTGGGTAAATCCGGGTTTGGGGGGAAAATGGGGATTTTGGGGGGAAAAAACGGGGATTTTGGGCAAATCCGGGTTTGGGGGGAAAACGGGGATTTTGGGCAAATCCGGGTTCGGGGGGAAAAATGGGGATTTGGGAGGAAAAATGGGGATTTTGGGGCATTGTGCTTTCGGGGCAAAAACGGGGATTTTGGGGGAAAAATGGGGATTTTGGGTAAATGTGGGTTTGGGGGGAAAATGGGGGTTTGGGGTGAAAAACGGGGATTTTGGGCAAATGTGGGTTTGGGGGAAAATGGGGATTTTGGGGGAAAAACGGGGATTTTGGGCAAATCCGGGTTCGGGGGGAAAATGGGGATTTGGGGGGAAAAATGGGGATTTTGGGCAAATGCGGGTTTGGGGGGAAAATGGGGATTTGGGGGGAAAAACGGGGATTTTGGGCAAATGCGGGTTTGGGGGGAAAAATGGGGATTTTGGGTCATTGTGGGTTTGGGGGGAAAAATGGGGGTTGGGGTGAAAAACGGGGATTTTGGGCAAATGCGGGTTTGGGGTGAAAAACGGGGATTTTGGGCAAATGAGGGTTTGGGGGGAAAAATGGGGATTTTGGGTAAATGCGGGTTTGGGGGAAAATGGGGATTTGGGGGGAAAAATGGGGATTTTGGGTAAATGCGGGTTTGGGGGGAAAAACGGGGATTTGGGGTGAAAAATGGGGATTTTGGGTAAATGAGGGTTTGGGGGGAAAAATGGGGATTTTGGGTAAATGCGGGTTTGGGGGGAAAAATGGGGATTTGGGGGGAAAAATGGGGATTTTGGGCAAATCCGGGTTCGGGGGGAAAATGGGGATTTTGGGCAAATCCGGGTTCGGGGGGAAAATGGGGATTTGGGGTGAAAAATGGGGATTTTGGGTAAATGCGGGTTTGGGGGGAAAAACGGGGATTTTGGGCAAATGCGGGTTTGGGGGGAAAAACGGGGATTTTGGGCAAATGAGGGTTTGGGGCCAAAAACGGGGATTTTGGGCAAATCCGGGTTTGGGGGGAAAATGGGGGTTTGGGGGGAAAAACGGGGATTTTGGGCAAATCCGGGTTTGGGGGGAAAAACGGCGATTTTGGGCAAATGAGGGTTCGGGGGGAAAACGGGGATTTGGGGGGAAAAATGGGGATTTTTGGTAAATGCGGGTTTGGGGGGAAAAATGGGGATTTTGGGCAAATCCGGGTTTGGGGGGAAAAATGGGGATTTTGGGTCATTGTGGGTTCGGGGGGAAAAACGGGGATTTGGGGTGAAAAACGGGGATTTTGGGCAAATGCGGGTTTGGGGGGAAAAATGGGGATTTGGGGGAAAACGGGGATTTGGGGGGAAAAATGGGGATTTTGGGTAAATGAGGGTTTGGGGGAAAAACGGGGATTTTGGGCTTCATTTTGGGGTAATTTTGGGGTCAATTCTGGGGATTTTGGGGTAATTTTGGGGTCAATTCTGGGGATTTTGGGGTCATTTCTGGGGATTTTGGGGTAATTCTGGGGTCAATTCTGAGGATTTTGGGGTAATTCTGGGGTCATTTTGGGGTAATTTTGGGGTAATTTGGGGTCAATTCTGGGGATTTTGGTGTCAATTCTGGGGATTTTGGGGTAATTTTGGGGTCAATTCTGGGGTTTTCGGGGAAAAAGGAAAAAGGATTTCTGGGACGGGAAAAGGGGTCAGAAAAGGGAATTTTGGGGGGATTTTTGCGGGAATTCGGGGTGATTTTGGGGTTTTTTTGGGGCTGGCGGCTCGGGGGTCCTGGTGCGGATTTTGGGGTGAATTTGGGGGATTTTGGGGTCAATTCTGGGGATTTTGGGGTATTTTTGGGGCCAATTCTGGGGATTTTGGGATAATTTTGGGGTCAATTCTGGGGATTTTGGGGTCATTTTGGGGTCAATTCTGGGGATTTCGGGGTAATTTTGGGCTTCGTTTTGGGGGATTTTGGGGTAATTTTGGGGTCAATTCTGGGGATTTTGGTGTCCCACAGTCTCCCGAGACGGGAAAAAGGGGTCAGAAAAGGGAATTTTGGGGTTTTTTTTGTGGGAATTTGGGGTTTTTTTTGGGGTTTTTTTGGGGGCTGGCGGGTCGGGTGTCCCGGTGCGGATTTTGGGGTGAATTTGGGGGATTTTGGGGTGATTTTGGGGTCAATTCTGGGGATTTGGGGGTAATTTTGGGGTCAATTCTGGGGATTTGGGGGTAATTTTGGGGTCAATTCTGGGGATTTTGGGGTAATTCTGGGGATTTCGGGGTATTTTTGGGGTCAATTCTGGGGATTTTGGGGGATTTTAGGGTCAATTCTGGGGATTTTGGGGTCAATTCTGGGAATTTTGGGGTAATTTTGGGGTCAATTCTGGAGATTTTGGGGAAATTCTGGCGATTTTGGGGTAATTTTGGGGTCAATTCTGGGGATTTTGGGATAATTTTGGGGTCAATTCTGGGGATTTCGGGGAAAAAGGAAAAAGGATTTCTGGGACGGGAAAAAGGGGTCAGAAAAGGGAATTTTGGGGTTTTTTTGCGGGAATTTTGGGGGGGTTTTTGCGGGAATTTTGGGGTGATTTTGGGGTTTTTTTGGGGCTGTTTGCTCGGGGGTCCCGGTGCGGATTTTGGGGTGAATTTGGGGGATTTTGGGTCTGACCTGTGAGCCGGGGGTGCTCTCGGAGGAGGCAGTGCAGGAGGAAGGCGGCGCGGGCGCGGAGAGGGGGGTGGGGGCTCTGCAGGGCCCCCCCGAGCGCCTCCAGCCCCCCCAAATCCTGCAGCTGCTGCAGCCCCTCGGGCTGCGCCCGCACCAGGCCTGGGAACGGAAATTTGGGGTTAAAACGGGCAAAATCGGGAAAAAAACAGCAAAAAACGGTAAAAAACGTCAAAAACCGGCAAAAAAACACCCCAAAACCACCAAAAACCACCCAAAAATCCTCCCCCAATCCTGCAGCTGCTGCAGCCCCTCCGGCTGCGCCCGCACCAGGCCTGGGGATGAGAAATTTGGGGTTAAAACGGCCAAAATCGGGCAAAAAACGATAAAAAACTGCAAAAAACTGTAAAAAAACACCCTAAAACCCTCTAAATCGGTCCTAAAAATCCCCAAATCCACCCCAAAATCCTCCCCAAATCCTGCAGCTGCTGCAGCCCCTCGGGCTGCGCCCGCACCAGGCCTGGGGACGGGAAATTTGGGGTTAAAACGGCCAAAATCGGGAAAAAAACGGTAAAAAATGGTAAAAAACGGCAAAAAACAGCAAAAAAACACCCCCAAACCCCCCAAATCCACCCAAAAATGCTCCCCAAATCCTGCAGCTGCTGCAGCCCCTCCCGAAAAATAAAAAAAAAATCAAAAAAAAATCCCCCAAAAAATCCCAAAAAAATAAAAAGAAAAAAAATCCCACAAAATTTTAAAAATTTAAAAAAATTTAAAATAGTCCCCATAAAAAAAAAAATTGTAAAAACTTTTAAAAATTTAAAAAAAGTTAAAAAAATGCCAAAAAAAAAAAACCCACGAAAAAATCCCAAAAAACAAAAAAAAAAATCCCAAAAAATCCCAAAAATCCCCCAAAAATCCCCAAAAAAATCCCCAAAAAACCCACGAAAAAATCCCAAAAAAATCCCCCCAAAAAAATTAAAAAAAAAATCCCACAAAAAAAATTTAAAAATTAAAAAAAAATTTTAAAAAATTTAAAAAAAAATCCCCAAAAACCCCCACAAAAAAAAAATCTCAAAGAATCCTCAAAATATTCCCCCCAAAATCAAAAAAAAACCCCAAAAAACCCACAAAAAAATCCCAAAAAAAACCCCAAAAAACCACAAAAAAATCCAAAAAACCCCCACAAAACAATCCCAAAAAAACCTCAAAAAACCCCCCAAAAAACCCCAAAAAAATCCCACCAAAAATCCCAAAAAAAAATACCAAACATCCCCAAAAAACCCCGCAAAAAATCCCCAAATAATCCCCCCCAAAAAAAGAAAAAAATCCCAAAAAACCAAAAAAAAAAAATTCCCAAAAAATTCCAAAAAATCCGTAAAAAACCCCACAAAAAATCCCCAAAAACCCCATTAAAAAATCCCAAAAAAAACCCCCAAAAAAACCGCAAAAAATCCAAAAAAAATCCCCAAAATACCCACAAAAAATCCCCAAAAACCCACAAAAAATCCCAAAAAAATCCCAAGAAAATCCCCCAAAAAATCAAAAAAAAAAAAAAAAATCCCCCAAAAATAAAAAAACCCCAAGAAATTAAAAAAAAAAATCCCAAAAAATCCCAAGAAACCCTCTAAAAAAATCCCCAAAAAACCCCATTACAAACCCCCCAAAAATCCCCAAAACCCCCCCCAAAACCCCCGGTACTCACAGGAGATGGCGAAGAGCGCGGCGGGGGGCACGCTTGGGTCGGGGTCTCCCCTCAGCCCCCCCAGCAGCGCCGGCAGCGCCCCCAGCCCCAGCGCCCGGACCTGCGCCCCCGGAAGGTTCTGGGCGCAGCACCCCAACACCCGCGCGGCCCCGGCCCGCAGCGGCGCCCAAGGGTGCCCCAGCAGCGGCAGCAGCGCCTCCAGCCCGCCCAGCGAGCAGAAATCTGGGGAGAAACAGAGAAAATTGGTTAAAAACGGGATTTGGAGGGTGAAAATCTGTCTTTACAGGGTTAAATCGGTATTTAAAGGGTTAAAAATGGGGTGCGAAGGGTTAAAAACGGGATTTGAAGGGTTAAAAATGGGACTTAAAGGGTTAAAAATGGGGTTTGAAGGGTTAAAAATGGGGTTTGAAGGGTTAAAAATGGGGTTTGGGGGGTTAAATTTGAAGGGTTAAAAATGGGGTGTGGAGGGTTAAAAATGGGATTTGAAGGGTTAAAAATGGGATTTGAAGGGTTAAAAATGGGGTTTGAAGGGTTAAATTGGGAATTAAATTTTTATATTGGGAATTAAATGGTTAAAAATGGGGTCTGAATGGTTAAATTGGGAATTAAAGGGTTAAAAATGTGATTAAATGGTACAAATCCCGCAGAAAATGACCCAAAATCCACCCCCAAATCAGCCCAGCAGCACCTTCAGGCCACCTAAGTAGAAGAAATCTGGGAGAAAACGGGAAAAAATGGGTTAAAATGGGTTAAAAATGGGGTTTAAAGGGTTAAAAACAGGGTCTGAAGGGTTAAATTGGGAATTCAAGGGTTAAATTGGGATTTGAAGGGTTAAAAACGGGGTTTGAAGGGTTAAAAATTGGATTAAAATGGGATTAAAATTGCCCAAATTCCACAGGAAATGACCCAAAATCCCTCCCCAAAACAGCCCTGAGTGACCAAATGACCCCTGAGTGACCCCAAGTGACCCCTGAGTGACCCAGAGTGACCCAGAGTGACCAAATGACCTCAAAGTGACCAAATGACCCCTGAGTGACTCTGAGTGACCAAATGACCCCAGAGTGACTCAGAGTGACCAAATGACCCCTGAGTGACTCTGAGTGACCAAATGACCCCAGAGTGACTCAGAGTGACCAAATGACCCCTGAGTGACTCAGAGTGACCAAATGACCCCTGAGTGACTCTGAGTGACCCCGAGTGATTCAATGACCCCTGAGTGACCCAGAGTGACCAAATGACCCCAGAATGATCCAGAGTGACCAAATGACCTCAGAGTGACCAAATGACCCCAGAGTGACCAAATGACCCCAGAGTGACTCTGAGTGACCCAGAGTGACCAAATGACCCCTGAGTGACTCTGAGTGAACAACTGACCTCAGAGTGACCAAATGACCCCAGAGTGACCCCGAGTGACCAAATGACCCCTGAGTGACTCTGAGTGACCAAATGACCTCAGAGTGACCCAGAGTGACCAAATGACCCTAAAGTGACCCAGAGTGACTAAATGACCCCTGAGTGACTCAGAGTGACCAAATGACACCAGAGTAACCCAGAGTGACCAAATGACCTCAGAGTGACCAAATGACCCCTGAGTGACCCAGAGTGACCAAATGACCCCTTAGTGACCAAATGACCTCAGAGTGACCAAATAAGCCCTGAGTGACCCTGAGTGACCCAGAGTGACCAAATGACCCCTGAGTGACTCTGAGTGACCAAATGACCCCTGAGTGACCCCAGAGTGACCAAATGACCCCAGAGTGACCAAATGACCCCAAAGTGACAAAATGACCCCTGAGTGACTCTGAGTGACCAAATGACCCGAGAGTGACCCCTGAGTGACCAAATGACTGCAGAGTGACCCCGAGTGACCCCAATGACCCCCAAGTGACCCCCAGCTCACCGGTGGCGTTGTCCAGGCTCTCGCAGAGCTCGGCCAGCTCGGACAGGGTCCCCAGTGACCCCAATGACCCCCGAGTGACCAAATGACCCCTGAGTGACCCAGAGTGACCAAATGACCCCAGAGTGACCCTGAGTGACCCTGAGTGACCAAATGACCTCAGAGTGACCAAATGACCCCTGAGTGACTCTGAGTGACCAAATGACCTCAGAGTGACTAAATGACCTCAGAGCGACTCTGAGTGACCCCGAGTGACCAAATGACCCCTGAGTGACTCTGAGTGACCAAATGACCCCAGAGTGACCCAGAGTGACTCTGAGTGCCCCAGAGTGACCAAATGACCCCAGAGTGACCCTGAGTGACCAAATGACCCCAGAGTGTCCCCGAGTGACTCAATGACCCCAGATTGACCAGTGAGTGACCAAATGACCCCAAAGTGACTAAATGACCCCAGAATGTCCCAGACTGACCCAGAGTGACCAAATGACCCCAGAGTGACCCTAATGACCCCAGAGTGACCCCAATGACCCCGTGTCTCACCGGTGGCGTTGTCCAGGCTCTCGCAGAGCTCGGCCAGCTCGGCCAGGGCCCCCAGTGACCCCAATGACCCCAGAGTGACCAAATGACCCCAGAGTGACCAAATGACCCCTTAGTGACCAAATGACCCCAGAGTGACCAAATGACCCCTGAGTGACTCTGAGTGACCAAATGACCTCAGAGTGACCAAATGACCCCAGAGTGACCAAATGACCCCAGAGTGACTCTGAGTGACCAAATGACCCCAGAGTGACTCTGAGTGACCAAATGACCGCTGAGTGACCAAATGACCCCAGAGTGACTCTGAGTGACCCCTGAGTGACCAAATGACCCCAGAGTGACCAAATGACCCCTTAGTGACCAAATGACCCCAGAGTGACCAAATAAGCCCTGAGTGACTCTGAGTGACCCCTGAGTGACAAAATGACCCCTGAGTGACTCTGAGTGACCAAATGACCCCTGAGTGTCCCAGAGTGACCAAATGACCCCAGAGTGACCAAATGACCTCAGAGTGACTCTGAGTGACCCAGAGTGACCCCAATGACCCCAGAGTGACCCCAATGACCCCGTGTCTCACCGGTGGCGTTGTCCAGGCTCTCGCAGAGCTCGGCCAGCTCGGCCCCCAATGACCCCAGAGTGACCCCGAGTGACCCCAATGACCCCTGAGTGACCCCAGAGTGACCCCAAGTGACCAAATGACCCCAGAGTGACCCTGAGTGACCCCGAGTGACCAAATGACCCCAGAGTGACCCCAGAGTGACCCCAATGACCCCGAGTGACCGGTGGCTCACCGGTGGCGTTGTCCAGGCTCTCGCAGAGCTCGGCCAGCTCGGCCAGGGCCCCCAGTGACCCCAGAGTGACCCCAATGACCCCAGAGTGACCCCAATGACCCCAATGACCCCCGAGTGACCATCAGCTCACCGGTGGCGTTGTCCAGGCTCTCGCAGAGCTCGGCCAGCTCGGCCAGGGCCCCCAATGACCCAGAGTGACCCCAATGACCCCAGAGTGACCCCTGAGTGACCAAATGACCCCTGAGTGACCCAGACTGACCAAATGACCCCTGAGTGACCTCTGAGTGACCTCTGAGTGACCAAATGACCTCAGAGTGACCAAATAATGCCAGAGTAACCAAATGACCCCAGAGTGACCAAATGACCCCAGAGTGACCCAGAGTGACCAAATGACCGCTGAGTGACTCTCAGTGACCCCAATGACCCCAGAGTGACCAAATGACCCCAGAGTGACCAAGTGACCCCAGAGTGACTCTGAGTGACCCCGAGTGACCAAATGACCCCCGAGTGACCCAGAGCGACCAAATGACCCCAGAGTGACTCTGAGTGACCAAATGACCCCAGAGTGACTCTGAGTGACCCAGAGTGACCAAATGACCCCTGAGTGACTCTGAGTGACCAAATGACCTCAGACTGACTCTGAGTGACCCCCAGTGACCCCAATGACCCCCGAGTGACCATCAGCTCACCGGTGGCGTTGTCCAGGCTCTCGCAGAGCTCGGCCAGCTCGGCCAGGGCCGCCTCGTGTCCGGCCGTGTCCCCCAGGCCCCTCTCGGCCGCGGCCTCGCCGGGACAGGGCCGGGCCAGGAGCCGCAGGCAGCGCTGGAGCCGCGCCCGGACGGCAGCGGGGCCGGACAGAGCCTCGGACACGGCCTCACGGAGCCACTGCTGCCTCTGCAAGGGCAGAAAAATATCCAAAATTATCCCAAAGTTATCATAAATTAACCCAAAGTTATCCTAAAGTATCCCAGAGTTATCCTGAGTTATCCCAGAGTTATCCCAGAGTCACACCGGGGCCGGACAGAGCCTCGGACACGGCCTCGTGTAACCACTGCTGCCTCTGGGGAGGTAAAAATAATCATAAATTATCATAAATTTATTGTAAATTATCATAAAGTTATCCTGAGTTATCCCAGAGTTATCCTGAGTTATCCCAGAGTCACACCGGGGCCGGACAGAGCCTCGGACACGGCATCACGGAGCCACTGCTGCCTCTGGGGGGGTAAAAATAATCATAAATTATCATAAATTATCATAAAGTTATCGTAAATTATCTTAAAGTTATCCTGAGTTATCCTGAGTTATCCCAGAGTTATCCCAGAGTCACACCGGGGCCGGACAGAGCCTCGGACACGGCCTCGTGTAACCACTGCTGCCTCTGGGGGGGGAAAAATAATCATAAATTATCCCAAAGTTATCATAAATTATCATAAATTAACTCAAAGTTATCCCAGAGTTATCCTGAGTTATCCCAGAGTTATCCCAGAGTCACACCGGGGCCGGACAGAGCCTCGGACACGGCCTCACGCAGCCACTGCTGCCTCTGGGGGACAGAAAAATATCCAAAATTATCCCAAAGTTATCATAAATTATCATAAATTAACTCAAAGTTATCCCAAAGTTATCCTGAGTTATCCTGAGTTATCCCAGAGTTATCCTGAGTTATCCCAGAGTTATCCCAGAGTCACCCCGGAGTTAACCCAGGCCTGGGACACGGCCTCGTGCAGCCACTGCTGCCTCTGGGGGACAGAAAAATATCATAAATTATCATAAATTTATCATAAATTATCATAAATTATCTTAAAGTTATCCTGAGTTATCCCACAGTTAGCCAGAGTTATCCCAGAGTTATCCCAGAGTCACACCGGGGCCGGACAGAGCCTCGGACACGGCCTCGTGCAGCCACTGCTGCCTCTGGGGGACAGAAAATATCATAAAGTTATCATAAATTATCCCAAAGTTATCGTAAATTATCCTAAATTATCATAAATTTATCCTAAATTATCTCAAAGTTATCCCTGAGTTATCCTGAGTTATCCCAGAGTCACACCGGGGTTAACCCAAGCCTGGGACACGGCCTCGTGCTGCCTCTGGGGGGGAAAAAAATATCATAAATTATCCTAAATTATCCTAAAGTTATCCTAAATTATCCCAAAGTTATCCTGAATTATCCTAAAGTTATCCTGAGTTATCCCAAAGTTATCCTGAATTATCCTAAAGTTATCCTGAATTATCATAAACGACCAAAAGTGTCCCAAAAGTGACCCCAGAGCCCCAAAGAGCCCCAAAAGTGTCCCCAGAGAGCCCCAAAAGTGACCCCAGAGAGCCCCAAAAGTGTCCCCAGAGCCCCAAAAGTGACCCCAGAGCCCCAAAAGTGACCCCAGAGAGCCCCAAAAGTGACCCCAGAGCCCCAAAAGTGACCCCAGAGAGACCCAAAAGTGACCCCAGAGAGACCCAAAAGTGACCCCAGAGCCCCAAAAGTGACCCCAGAGAGCCCCAAAAGTGTCCCCAGAGCCCCAAAAGTGACCCCAGAGCCCCAAAAGTGACCCCAGAGAGCCCCAAAAGTGACCCCAGAGCCCCAAAAGTGTCCCCAGAGAGACCCAAAAGTGACCCCAGAGCCCCAAAAGTGACCCCAGAGAGCCACAAAAGTGTCCCCAGAGAGCCCCAAAAGTGACCCCAGAGAGCCCCAAAAGTGACCCCAGAGAGCCCCAAAAGTGACCCCAGAGCCCCAAAAGTGCCCCCAGAGCCCCAAAAGTGCCCCCCGAGAGCCCCAAAAGTGACCCCAGAGCCCCAAAAGTGTCCCCAGAGAGACCCAAAAGTGACCCCAGAGCCCCAAAAGTGACCCCAGAGAGCCACAAAAGTGTCCCCAGAGAGCCCCAAAAGTGACCCCAGAGAGCCCCAAAAGTGACCCCAGAGAGCCCCAAAAGTGTCCCCAGAGCCCCAAAAGTGACCCCAGAGCCCCAAAAGTGACCCCAGAGAGCCCCAAAAGTGACCCCAGAGCCCCAAAAGTGTCCCCAGAGAGACCCAAAAGTGACCCCAGAGCCCCAAAAGTGACCCCAGAGAGCCCCAAAAGTGACCCCAGAGAGCCCCAAAAGTGACCCCAGAGAGCCCCAAAAGTGACCCCAGAGCCCCAAAAGTGTCCCCAGAGAGACCCAAAAGTGTCCCCAGAGCCCCAAAAGTGTCCCCAGAGCCCCAAAAGTGACCCCAGAGAGACCCAAAAGTGACCCCAGAGAGCCAAAAGTGTCCCCAGAGCCCCAAAAGTGTCCCCAGAGCCCCAAAAGTGTCCCCAGAGCCCCAAAAGTGACCCCAGAGCCCCAAAAGTGACCTCAGAGAGCCCCAAAAGTGACCCCAGAGCCCCAAAAGTGTCCCCAGAGAGCCACAAAAGTGTCCCCAGAGCCCCAAAAGTGTCCCCAGAGCCCCAAAAGTGTCCCCAGAGCCCCAAAAGTGACCCCAGAGCCCCAAAAGTGTCCCCAGAGCCCCAAAAGTGTCCCCAGAGAGACCCAAAAGTGTCCCCAGAGAGACCCAAAAGTGTCCCCAGAGAGACCCAAAAGTGTCCCCAGAGCCCCAAAAGTGTCCCCAGAGCCCCAAAAGTGACCCCAGAGCCCCAAAAGTGACCCCAGAGCCCCAAAAGTGACCCCAGAGACCCAAAAGTGTCCCCAGAGCCCCAAAATGACCCCAGAGCCCCAAAAGTGACCCCAGACAGCCCCAAAAGTGACCCCAGAAAGACCCAAAAGTGTCCCCAGAAAAACCCAAAAGTGACCCCAGAGAGCCCCAAAAGTGTCCCCAGAGCCCCAAAAGTGACCCCAGAGAGCCCCAAAAGTGTCCCCAGAGCCCCAAAAGTGTCCCCAGAGAGCCCCAAAAGTGACCCCAGAGCCCCAAAAGTGACCCCAGAGAGCCCCAAAAGTGACCCCAGAGAGCCCCAAAAGTGACCCCAGAGAGCCCCAAAAGTGACCCCAGAGAGCCCCAAAAGTGTCCCCAGAGAGCCCCAAAAGTGACCCCAGAGAGCCCCAAAAGTGTCCCCAGAGCCCCAAAAGTGTCCCCAGAGCCCCAAAAGTGACCCCAGAGAGACCCAAAAGTGACCCCAGAGCCCCAAAAGTGACCCCAAAGCACCAAAAGTGACCCCAGAGCCCCAAAAGTGACCCCAGAGAGCCCCAAAAGTGACCCCAGAGAGCCCCAAAAGTGTCCCCAGAGCCCCAAAAGTGACCCCAGAGAGCCCCAAAAGTGACCCCAGAGAGCCCCAAAAGTGTCCCCAGAGCCCCAAAAGTGTCCCCAGAGCCCCAAAAGTGACCCCAGAGCCCCAAAAGTGACCCCAGAGCCCCAAAAGTGACCCCAGAGAGCCCCAAAAGTGACCCCAGAGAGACCCAAAAGTGACCCCAGAGCCCCAAAAGTGACCCCAGAGAGACCCAAAAGTGACCCCAGAGCCCCAAAAGTGTCCCCAGAGCCCCAAAAGTGACCCCAGAGAGACCCAAAAGTGTCCCCAGAGCCCCAAAAGTGACCCCAAAGAGTCCAAAATGACCCCAGAGAGACCCAAAAGTGTCCCCAGAGAGACCCAAAAGTGACCCCAGAGCCCCAAAAGTGACCCCAGAGACCCAAAAGTGACCCCAGAGAGCCCCAAAAGTGACCCCAGAGAGCCCCAAAAGTGACCCCAGAGCCCCAAAAGTGACCCCAGAGACCCAAAAGTGTCCCCAGAGAGCCCCAAAAGTGACCCCAGAGAGACCCAAATGTGACCCCAGAGCCCCAAAAGTGACCCCAGAGAGCCCCAAAAGTGACCCCAGAGCCCCAAAAGTGTCCTCAGAGACCCAAAAGTGACCCCAGAGAGCCCCAAAAGTGTCCCCAGAGCCCCAAAAGTGACCCCAGAGAGCCCCAAAAGTGTCCCCAGAGAGCCCCAAAAGTGACCCCAGAGCCCCAAAAGTGACCCCAGAGAGACCCAAAAGTGACCCCAGAGCCCCAAAAGTGACCCCAGAGCCCCAAAAGTGACCCCAGAGAGCCCCAAAAGTGACCCCAGAGAGCCCCAAAAGTGTCCCCAGAGCCCCAAAAGTGACCCCAGAGCCCCAAAAGTGTCCCCAGAGCCCCAAAAGTGACCCCAGAGCCCCAAAAGTGACCCCAGAGCCCCAAAAGTGACCCCAGAGAGCCCCAAAAGTGACCCCAGAGAGCCCCAAAAGTGACCCCAGAGAGCCCCAAAAGTGACCCCAGAGCCCCAAAAGTGACCCCAGAGCCCCAAAAGTGACCCCAGAGAGACCCAAAAGTGTCCCCAGAGCCCCAAATGTGACCCCAGAGAGACCCAAAAGTGACCCCAGAGCCCCAAAAGTGTCCCCAGAGCCCCAAAAGTGTCCCCAGAGAGACCCAAAAGTGACCCCAGAGCCCCAAAAGTGACCCCAGAGCCCCAAAAGTGACCCCAGAGAGACCCAAAAGTGACCCCAGAGAGACCCAAAAGTGTCCCCAGAGCCCCAAAAGTGACCCCAGAGAGCCCCAAAAGTGTCCCCAGAGCCCCAAAAGTGACCCCAGAGCCCCAAAAGTGACCCCAGAGAGACCCAAAAGTGTCCCCAGAGAGCCCCAAAAGTGTCCCCAGAGCCCCAAAAGTGACCCCAGAGCCCCAAAAGTGACCCCAGAGAGCCCCAAAAGTGACCCCAGAGCCCCAAAAGTGACCCCAGAGAGACCCAAAAGTGACCCCAGAGAGACCCAAAAGTGACCCCAGAGAGCCCCAAAAGTGACCCCAGAGCCCCAAAAGTGACCCCAGAGCCCCAAAAGTGACCCCAGAGAGACCCAAAAGTGACCCCAGAGAGACCCAAAAGTGTCCCCAGAGAGACCCAAAAGTGTCCCCAGAGCCCCAAAAGTGTCCCCAGAGCCCCAAAAGTGTCCCCAGAGAGCCCCAAAAGTGACCCCAGAGAGCCCCAAAAGTGACCCCAGAGAGCCCCAAAAGTGTCCCCAGAGCCCCAAAAGTGACCCCAGAGAGACCCAAAAGTGACCCCAGAGCCCCAAAAGTGACCCCAGAGACCCAAAAGTGACCCCAGAGCCCCAAAAGTGTCCCCAGAGAGCCCCAAAAGTGACCCCAGAGAGCCCCAAAAGTGACCCCAGAGAGACCCAAAAGTGTCCCCAGAGACCCAAAAGTGACCCCAGACACCCCAAAGAGCCCCAAAAGTGACCCCAGAGAGACCCCAGAGCCCCAAAAGTGACCCCAGACAGCCCCAAAGCCCCCAAAATGTCCCCAAATCCCCCCAAAACCGCCCCCGGACCCCCCCGGTGCCGGTACCTCCTCAGCCAGCGGCTCGCGGGGCTCGGGCCGCGCCTCTCCGGCCGTCAGCGCCATCTCCAGCAGCCCCTGCAGCGTCCGCGGCGGCTCCCGCCGGCCCCCGCCGGCTCCGTCACCCTCCGCCGCCGCCATGAGAGCCCCGGGACCGATCCGGGACCGATCGGGGCCGATTTGGGCCCGCCGGGAGCCGCCGGTACCGCCGGTACCGCTCAGCGCCGCCCGCCGCGCCTGGCCGCCGCCATCTTGGAATGGGCGTGGCCTGCGGCGGAAGGGGCGGGGCCGGCGGGAAGGGGCGTGGCTTCGGTGTATTGTTTATAACCGGCGCATTGTGAGGCGGCGGAGTGAGTGACAGCGCGTTTGGCCAATAGGAAAGGAAGATAAGGAGGGAGGTGGCCAATAGGAGGAGAGGAAGGCGGTGGGGTTTAGCCAATAGAATAAAAAGGAAAGATTTGAGGCCGCCCTCGCGCTGTTTCAACCAATGAAAACACAGAGCGGTTTGATCGGCATCTCTGCGAACCAATAGAAATCACTGAGCGCTGTGGATTAATACGGGAGCGCCGCATTTTCCACCAATCAGCTCACGGTGCGCCTCGCCGGCAGCCAATGGGAGCGGCGGCGCGGCGGGGCGGCGGCCAATGGGGATGGCGGAGCGCGCGGCGGGAGCGGGCGGGCGGCGGCGGCGCGGCCGCGCCGGGCCCGGTGCGGGCGGCGGTTCCCGCGCTCCGGTAACGGCCCCGACGGGACTCACCCCGCGCTCGGGTCACTCCCACGGCGCTCCCGGTGGTGCCGCTCACGGTGACGCCGCTCACGGTGCTGCAGGAGCGGCGGAGGAGGAGGCGGCGGAGGGAGCGGTCGGTGGCGGCGGCGGCGGCGGGGCCGGTACGGGCGGCGGGGACGGCGGTAACGGCGCGGGAGTTGTGCGAGAACGATGATTTGGCCACGAGCCTCGTGCTGGATTCGGTGCTCGGGTTCCGCACGCACAAGATGGGAGTCAGGTTAGAGCGGGGAACGGGGACACCGGGGGAACCGAGGGAATACCGGGGGAGCACCGGGGGAACCCCGGGGGAGCACCGGGCGGGAGAACCGGGGGAGCCACGAGAACCACCGGGGAGCACCGGGCGGAGGAACCGGGGAGCACCGGGCAGAGGAACCGGGGGAGCACCGGGAGGCAGCACCGGGAGGCACTGGGAGGCACCACCGAGAACCACCGTGGGGCACTGGGGGAACACCGGGAGGCACCGGGAGGCGGCACCGGGGAGCACCGGGTGGGAGAACCGGGGGGCACCGGGAGGCACCGGGGAGAACCGGGAGGCACCGGTACGCACCGGGAGGCACCGGGAGCAGCTCGATCTCTCCGTCCCGGCGCTGCCCGGTGCCCGGTACCGACTGCCGGTGCCCGGTACTGACTCCCAGTGCCCAGTACCGATGCCCGGTACCGACACCCGGTGGCCGGTACCAACTCCCGGTGCCCATGCCCGGTGCTCGGTACCGACACCCGGTGCCCGGTACCGACACCCGGTGCACACCCGGTGCCCGGTACCGACTCCTGGTGCACACCCGGTACCGACACCCGGTGCCTGATACCGACTCCTGCTGCCCGGTTCCAACACCCGGTGCCCGGTACCGATGCCCGGTACCAATGCCCGGTGCCCGGTACCAACACCCGGTGCCGATGCCCGGTACCAACACCCGGTACCGATGCCCGGTACCAACACCCGGTACCAACACCCGGTGCCCTTTACCGATGCCCGGTGCTGCCCGGTTCCCGTTACCGATTCCCGGTGCCCGGTACCGACTCCCGGTGCCCGGTACCAACACCCGGTACCAACACCCGATGCCCTTTACCGACACCCGATGCCCGGTACCGACTCCCGGTGCTGCCCGGTTCCCGTTACCGACTCCCGGTGCCCGGTACCGAGTCCCAGTGCCCGGTCCCCATACCCGGTACCGACTCCCGGTGCTGCCCGGTGCCCGTTACCGACTCCCGGTGCCCTCAGCCCCCTGCCCGCCCTGCGGCGGCGGGCGCGGCTCCGCGCGGCCCTCGAGGCGTTCCGGCGGCGGCGGGACCTGGAGGCGGCGTGGCGGACGCTGAGCGGGGCCTGGGCACCGGCGTTCTTCCGCCGGCGGCGGCCGCAGCAGCGCGCCGAGCTCAAACAGCACGTACGGGGGGAACGGGGGGTTTGGGGGGGATTTGGGGGAGATTTGGGGGGTCCTGGGGGGGGTTGGGGGAGATTTGGGGGGTTTGGGGGAGATTTGGGGGGGTTTGGGGGAGATTTGGGGGGGTCTGAGGGGAGAATTGGAAGAGATTTGGGGGGTCTGGGAAGAGATTTGGGGGGTCTGGGGGGGCATTTGGGGGGTTTGGGGGGGATTTGGGGGGAGATTTGGGGGGTTTGGGAGAGGTTTCGGGGGTCTGGGGGGAGATTTGGAGGGGATTTGGGGGGTTTGGGGGAGATTTGGGGGGGATTTGGGGGGTCCTGGGGGGGATTTGAGGAAGGATTGGGGGATTTAAAGGGAGATTTGGGGGTCTGGGGGGGGTTGGGGGATCTTGGAGGGGATTTGGGGGGTTTAGGGGGAGATTTGGGGGAGATTTGGGGGAGATTTGGGGGGTCTGGGAAGAGATTTGGGGGGTCTGGGAAGAGATTTCGGGGAGGTTTGGGGGAGATTGGGGGGTCCTGGGGGGGATTTGGGAGGTTTGGGGGAGATTTGGGGGGGATTTGGGGGAGATTTGGAGGGGATTTGGGGGGTCCTGGGGGGGGGGTTATGGGGTCCTGGGGGGGATTTGGGGGGGATTTGGGGGGTCCTGAGGGGGGTTTGGGGGAGATTTGGGGGGGATTTGGGGGGATTTGGGGGAGGTTTGGGGGTTCTGGGGGGGATTTGGGGGGTCCTGGGGGGGATTTGGGGGTCCTGGGGGGGATTTGGAGGGGATTTGGGGGGTTTGGGGGATCGGGGGGAGATTTGGGGGGTTTTGGGGGGAGATTTGGGGGAGATTTGGGGAGTCCTGGAGGGGATTTGGGGGGTTTGGGGGAGATTTGGGGGAGATTTGAGGGGTCTGCGGGGGATTTGGGGGGTCCTGGGGGGGGATTTGGGGGCTCTAGATTGGATTTGGGGGGGGTTTGGGGGGGAATTGGGGGGTTTGGGGGGGGTTTGGGGGAGATTTGGGGGGTTTGGGGGGCGTGGGGAGAGATTTGGGGGGTTTGGGGGAGATTTGGGGGGTTTGGGAGGGATTTGGGGAGATTTGGGGGAGATTTGGGGGATTTGGGGGGGATTTGGGGGGTTTGGGGGAGATTTGGGGGGTCCTGGGGGTCCTGAGGGGGGTTTGGGGGGTCTGGGAAGAGATTTGGGGGAGGTTTGGGGGAGATTTGGGGGGTCTAGATTGGATTTGGGGGGGGTTTGGGGGGGACTTGGGGCATCTAGGGGGGATTTGGGGGGTCTGGGGGGGATTTGGGGGAGATTTGGGGGTTTGGGGGAAGATTTGGGGGGTTTGGGGGGAGGTTTGGGGGGTTTGGGGGAGATTTGGGGGGTCCTGGGGAGATTTGGGGGGTTTGGGGGCAGACTTGGGAGGGATTTGGGGGGTCTGGGGGGGGATTTGGGGGAGATTTGGGGGAGATTTGGGGGATTTGGGGGGGATTTGGGGGGTCCTGGGGGGGGTTGGGGGAGATTTGGGGGGTTTGGGGGAGATTTGGGGGAGATTTGGGGGGTTTGGGGGAGAGATTTGGGGCTTGGGGGGAGATTTGGGGGTTTGGGGGGAGATTTGAGGGGTTTGGGGGGTTTGGGGGGTTTTGGGGGGAAATTTGGGGGGTTTTGAGGGAGATTTGGGGGGGTTTGGGGGAGATTTGGGGGAGATTTGGGGGGTTTTGAGGAGATTTGGGGGGTTTGGGGAAGATTTGGGATCCGTGGGGCACAGTGAGGGTTTCAGAGGGATCTGTGGGGCACAGGAGAAGTTTCTGTGGGATCCGTGGGGCACAGTGAGGGTTTGTGAGGGATCCGTGGGGCACAGTGAGTGTTTCTGAGGGATCCGTGGGGCACAGTGAGGGTTTCTGAGGGATCTGTGGGGCACCGTGAGGGTTTCTGAGGGATCCGTGGGGCACAGTGAGGGTTTCTGAGGGATCTGTGGGGCACAGTGAGGGTTTCTGTGGGGTGTCTGTGGGGCTGAGGCAGTTTCTGGCGGGGACCCCAAACCCCCATTTCCGTCCCCCATTTCAGGTGTTCCGTTACCTGCGGACTCTCCTTCCCGAGAGCGGCTTCACCATCCAACCCTGCACCCGCTACAGCCGCGACGTCAACGGCGCCAGGGTGGTCTCCACACGCACCTGGTGAGGGCTGGGGGACCCCAAAACTGCAAAAATCACCCCAAAATCCTCAACACCCCTCAAAAAACCTCCAAAATCGCAAAAACACCGGCGCTCCCTGAGCCTGCTGCACCCACCCCACCGACCCACGCATGGGGGTCCCCAAACCGATCTGTGGATGCACAGAGCTGTCAAAATGTGTTTTATTTTCCTATTTTTTGTTTCTCCAGGCGCAAACATGAGACGCTGGAGCTGCTGGGCGGCTGCGGGGTGGAGCTGCGGGGTTCGGACCGGGCACTGCTGAGGGCAGGAGACAACGATTTCAGCCTCATGTACTCCACCCGCCGAAGGAGAACCCAGCTCTGGCTGGGGCCGGCCGCCTTCATCAACCACGGTGGGACCCCAAAACCGCCCGCGGCACCCCGAAAATCCATCCGGAAAAATCCCTCCTGGGACCCCCACCCGAATTCCCCTGAGCGCCCTCAGGACTCACCCGGGTGTGCTGGGGGAGCCTTGAGCGGGCGCTGATGGTTGTGTTGGTGTCCTCAGATTGTCGGCCGAACTGCAGGGTGAGTTTAAAGAGGGGTTTTTTTGGTGTTCGGTGGGTTTGGGGTGAGGAAGGGTGGTTTTGGGGTGAGAAAGGTTGGTTTTGGGGTGAAAATAGTTGGTTTTGGGGGCGAGTTTGTGCTGGGAATGTGAGGGAAAGATGGCGGGGAGCGTGAGGGGAGAAAAGGGCGGGAAACGTGAGGGGAGAAAAGGGCGGGAAATGTGAGGAGAAAAAGGATGGAAATCACGAGGGGAAAAGTGGTAGAAAATGTGAGGGAAAAAGTGCAAAATGTGAGGAGAAAAAGTGGGAAACGTGAGGGGAAACTGGCAGAAAATGAGAAGGGGAAAAAAGAGCAGGAAACGTGAGGGGAAAAAGAGCAGAAAATGTGAGGAAAAAAAAGCGTGGGAAATGTGAGGGGAAAAAGGATGGAAATCACGAGGGGAAAAGTGGTAGAAAACGTGAGGGAAAAAGTGGTGCAAAATGTGAGAAAAAGCGGGAAATGTGAGAGGAAAATAGCAGAAAATGAGAGGGGAAAAAAGAGCAGGAAACGTGAGGGGAGAAAAGGGCGGGAAACGTGAGGGGAGAAAAGGGCGGGAAACGTGAGGGGAGAAAAGGGCGGGAAATGTTAGAAATGAAGGAAAAGGTGGTGGGAAAGGTGAGAGGGAAAAAATGGTGTAAAATGTGAGGAGAAAAAGCGGGAAACGTGAGGGGAAAAAAGGTGGGAAATGTAAGGGGAGAAAAGGGTGGGAAACATGAGGGGGAAAAGAGCAGAAATGTGAGGGGAAAAGTAGAAAGCGTGAGGGGAGAGAAGGGTGGGAAATGTGAGGAGAAAAAGAGCAGGAAACATGAGGGAAAAAGGATGGAAATCATGAGGGGAAAAGTGGTAGGAAACGTGAGGGAAAAAGTGCAAAACGTGAGGAGAAAAAGCGGGAAATGTGAGGGGAAAAAGGATGGAAAACGCGAGGGGAAAAGTGGTAGGAAACAAGGGAAAAAAGGTGGTGCGAAATGTGAGGAGAAAAAAAGTGGGAAGTGTGAGGAGAAAATAGCAGAAAATGAGAGGGGAAAAAAGAGCAGGAAACGTGAGGGGGAAAAGGGCGGGAAATGTGAGGGGAAAAGGATGGAAAACACAAGGGGAAAAGTGGTAGAAAACGTGACAGAAAAAGTGGCGCAAAATGTGAGAAAAAGCGGGAAATGTGAGAGGAAAATAGCAGAAAATGAGAGGGGAAAAAAGAGCAGGAAACGTGAGGGGAAAAAGGGTGGGAAACGTGAGGGGAGAAAAGGATGGGAAATGTGAGGGGGAAAAAGGGCGGGAAACCTGAGGGGAGAAAAGAGCAGGAAACGTGAAGGGAAAAAGGATAAAAAATGTGAGGGGAAAAGTGGTAGAAAACCTGAGGGAAAAAGTGGTGCAAAATGTGAGGAGAAAAAAAGGTGGGAAACGTGAGGGGAAAGTGGCAGAAAATGTGAGGGGAAAAGTACAAAACGTGAGGAGAAAAAGAGCGGGAATCGTGAGGGGAGAAAAGGGCGGGAAACGTGAGGGGAGAAAAGGGCGGGAAACGTGAGGGGAGAAAAGGGCGGGAAACGTGAGGGGAGAAAAGGGCGGGAAATGTTAGAAATGAAGGAAAAGGTGGTGGGAAAGGTGAGAGGGAAAAAACGGTGTAAAATGTGAGGAGAAAAAGCGGGAAACGTGAGGGGAAAAAAGGTGGGAAATGTAAGGGGAGAAAAGGGTGGGAAACATGAGGGGGAAAAGAGCAGAAAACGTGAGGGGAGAAAAGGGCGGGAAATGTGAGGAGAAAAAGAGCGGGAAATGTGAGGAGAAAAAAGGGTTGGAAATGTGAGGGGAAAAAGGATGGAAAACACAAGGGGAAAAGTGGTAGAAAACATGACAGAAAAAGTGGTGCAAAATGTGAGAAAAAGCGGGAAATGTGAGGGGAAAATAGCAGAAAATGAGAGGAGAAAAAAGAGCAGGAAACGTGAGGGGAAAAAGAGCGGGAAATGTGAGGGGAAAAGTACAAAACGTGAGGAGAAAAAGAGCGGGAAACGTGAGGGGAAAAAAGGGCGGGAAATGTGAGGGGAGAAAAGGGCGGGAAACGTGAGGGGAAAAGTGGTAGAAAATGTGAGGGGAAAAAATCGTGTGAAACATGAGAAGAAAAAGAGCGGGAAACGTGAAGAGGTAAAAGTGGGAAATTTGAGGGAAAAATAGCAGAAAATGTGAGGGGAAAAGTGGATGGAAAGGTGGTGCAAAATGTTAGGGGAAAAAGAGCGGGAAACAGGAGAAAAAAGCAGAAAGTGTTAGGGGAAAAAGGGTGGGAAATGTGAGGGGAAAAGTGGCTGGAAACGTGAGGGGAAAATAGCAGAAAATGTGAGGGAAAAAGGATGGGAAATGTGAGGGGAAAATAGCAGAAAATGTGAGGGAAAAAGGATGGGAAATGTGAGGGGAAAATAGCAGAAAATGTGAGGAAGAAAAGGATGGGAAATGTGAGGGGGAAAGGGTGGCAAACATGAGGGGAAAATAGCAGAAAATGTGAGGGGAAAAAGGGTGAGAAATGTGAGGGGGAAAGGGAAAAAACGTGAGGGAAAAATTATGAGAAGAGTGAGGGGGGAAAAAAGGGTGTGAAACATGAGAGGGGAAGAGGCATTTTTGCAGTCTCTGTTTTGGGGTTCTCTCCCAATTTTGGGGTCCCTATTTTGGGGCTCTCTCCCCATTTTTGGGATCTCGTTTGGGGCTGACCGCTCTCTCCCATTTTTGGGGTCCCATTTTGGAGTCACCCCTATTTTTGGGGTCCCTATTTTTGGGCTCTGTCTCCATTTTTGGGGTCCCATTTTGGGGTCACCCCCATTTTTGGGGTCCCATTTTGGGGTCACCCCCGTTTTTGGGGTCCCGTTTTGGGGCTCTCTCTCACATTTTTGGGGCTGACTGCTCTCCCCCGTTTTTGGGGTCCCCTCCATTTTTGGTGTCCCTATTTTGGGGCTCTCTCCCCATTTTTGGGGTCCCGTTTGGGGCTGACTGCTCTCCCCCGTTTTTGGGGTCCCCCCCATTTTTGAGGTCCCTGTTTGGGGCTGACGCTCCCCAATTTTTGGGGTCCCCATTTTGGAGTCACCCCCATTTTTGGGGTCCCATTTTGGGGTCCCTATTTTGGGGCTCTGTCCCCATTTTTGGGGTCTCGTTTGGGGCTGACCGCTCTCCCCCGTTTTTGGGGTCCCTATTTTGGGGCTCTGTCCCCATTTTTGGGGCTGACCGCTCTCTCCCGTTTTTGGGGTCCCCCCCATTTTTGGGGTCCCTGTTTCGGGGCTGACGCTCCCCAATTTTTGGGGTCTCCCCAATTTTTGGGGTCCCTGTTTCGGGGCTGACCGCTCTCCCCCGTTTTTGGGATCCCATTTTGGAGTCACCCCCATTTTTAGGGTCCTGTTTCGGGGCTCTCTCTCACATTTTTGGGGCTGACCGCTCTCCCCCGTTTTTGGGGTCACCCCAATTTTTGGAGTCCCTATTTTGGGGCTCTCTCCCCATTTTTGGGGTCTCGTTTGGGGCTGACCTCTCTCCCCCGTTTTTGGTGTCCCGTTTCGGGGCTCTCTCTCACATTTTTGGGGCTGACCGCTCTCCCCCATTTTTGGGGTTCCCCCAATTTTTGGGGTCCCCGTTTCGGGTCTGACGCTCCCCAATTTTTGGGGCCACCCATTTTTGGGGTCCCTTTTGGGGCTGACCGCTCTCCCCCGTTTTTGGGGTCCTCCCCATTTTTGGGGTCCCTGTTTCGGGGCTGACGCTGCCCAATTTTTGGGGTCTCCCCCATTTTTGGGGTCCCTGTTTCGGGGCTGACGCTCCCCAATTTTTGGGGTCTCCCCAATTTTGGGGTCCCTGTTTCGGGGCTGACGCTCCCCAATTTTTGGGGACCCCCCAATTTTGGGGTCCCCGTTTCGGGGCTGACGCTCCCCAATTTTTGGGGTCGCCCCCATTTTTTGGTGTCCCCGTTTCGGGGCTGACGCTGCCCAATTTTCGGGGTGCAGTTGGTGTCGGCCCCGGGCGGGGCGCGGGTGCAGGCGCTGCAGGACATCCCCCCCCGGGCAGAAATCACCTGTTTCTATGGCGACGGCTTCTTCGGAGAGGGCAACCGGGGCTGCGAGTGCCGCACCTGCGAGAGGTACCCCGAAAACCCCGAAATCCTGACCCAAAATCCCCAGAGGGACCCCAAAATCCTGGCAGGGACCCCGAAATCCTCACCCCGGAATCCTGGCAGGGACCCCGAAATCCTGACCCCAAAAACCCCAGAGGGACCCCGAAATCCTGAGAGGGACCCCGAAATCCTGACCCCAAAAAACCCCAGAGGGACCCCGAAATGCTGACCCCAAAAAAATCCAGAGGGACCCCAAAATCCTGAGAGGGACCCTGAAAAATCTGACCCTGAAAACCCCAGAGGGACCCCGAAATCCTGACCCCAAAAAACCCAGAGGGACCCCGAAATCCTGGCAGGGACCCCGAAATCCTGACCCCAAAAACCCCAGAGGGACCCCGAAATCCTGACCCCGAAATCCTGACCCCAAAAAAACACAGAGGGACCCCAAAATCCTGAGAGGGACCCTGAAAAATCTGACCCCAAAAACCCCAGAGGGACCCCGAAATCCTGACCCCAAAAACCTGACCCCAAAAACCCCAGAGGGACCCCGAAATCCTGACCCTGAAAAACCCAGAGGGACCCCAAAATCCTCAGAGGGACACCCGAATTTTGGGGGTACCACCAGAATTTTGGGGGGTAGACCCCTGATTTAGGGGGGGGTCCCTAATTCCGGGTGGGGGGGGTCCCCAATTTGGGTTGGGGTCCCCAATACCCAGATGGGGGTTCCCAATTTGGGGTGGGGGTCCCCAATTTGTTGTGGGGGTCCCCAATTCGAAGTGGGGGGGTCCCTAATTCGGGGTGGGGGGTCCCTAATTTGGGGTGGGGGTCCCCAATTTGGGGTGGGGGGGTCCCCAATTTGGGGTGGGGGTCTGATAGGGGTTCCCAATTTGGGGTGGGGGTCCCTAATACCCAGATGGGGGTCCCCAATTTGGGGTGGGGGTCCCTAATTTGGGGTGGGGGTCCCTAATACCCAGGTGCGGGTCCCTAATTCGGGGTGGGGGTCCCCAATACCCTGATGGGGGTCCCCAATTTGGGGTGGGGGTCCCTAGTTACCCAGATGGGTGTCCCCAATTCGGGGTGGGGGGGTCCCCAATTTGGGGTGGGTGTCCCCAATTTAGGGTGGGGGTCTCTAATACCCGGGTTGGTGTCCCCAATTTGGGGTGGGGGTCTGATTGGGGTTCCCAATTTGGGGAGGGGGTCCCCAATACCTGAGTGGGAGTTCCCAATTCTGGGGTGGGGGTCCCCAATTTGGGGTGGGGGTCTGATAGGGGTCCCCAGTTTGGGGTGGGGGTCCCCAATTTGGGGTGGGGGTGTCCCCAATTTGGGGTGGGGGTCCCTAATACCTGGATGGGGGTCCCCAATTCCAGGTGGGGGGTTCCCAATTCTGGGGGGGGAGGTCTCCAATTCTGAGTGGGGGGTCCCTAATTTGGGGTGGGGGTCCCCAATTTGGGGTGGGGGTCCCCAATACCCAGATGGGGGTCCCCAATTTGGGGTGGGGGTCCCTAATACCCAGATGGGGGTTCCCAATTCGGGGTGGGGGTCCCCAATTCAGGGTGGTGGGGGTGTCCCCAGTTTGGGGTGGGGGTCCCTAATACCGAGATGGGGGTGTCCCCAATTTGGGTCGGGGGTCCCTAATTCGGAGTGGGGGTCCCTAATTCCAGGTGGGGGTCCCCAATTTGGGGTGGGGGTCCCTAATACCCAGATGGGGGTCCCCAATTTGGGGTGGGGGTCCCTAATACCCTCATGGGGGGGTCCCCAATTTGGGGCGGGGGTCCCTCATACTCTGATGGGGTTTCCTAATTTGGGGTGTCCCCAATTTGGGTCGGGGGTCCCTAATCCCCCCCACCCCCCCCCAGGCTCGGCGAAGGCGCCTTCCGCCGCCGCGGGGGGAGGGGCAGAACGACCCCCCCCCCCCCCCCCCCCCCCTCCCCCCACGAGACCCCCCCCCAAAATACGAACTGCGCGACACCGACGTGCGGCTGCGGCGGCGGCGGGGGGGGCAGGGCGGAGACCCCTCCCCAAAAAAACGACCCCGACAGCGGCGACAACGGCGGCGACCCCTCCCCACGGGCGCGACCCCCGCCCAGCCCCGCGTGGCGCTGCACGACTGCGTGTCCTGCGGGGGGCGCTGTGCCCTGCGCGGGAGGGTCCCCGCCGTGCTGCTGGGGACCCCCAAAAACGCCCCCAGACCCAAATCCGACCCCAAATTGTCGCTCTATGCTCATGTGAGATTGGGGGGGTGCACCCCAAAATCCGGGTTTGGGGGTGAGGGGCGCGCAGGGAGCCCCCCCAGGCTGAGGTTGGTGGTGTCGGAGGGGGAGTTGGCGCTGGCGTTGACCCCCGCCCGGGTGTGAGACCCCCGAATTTGGGGGGTTTGGGGGGTTAGAGATGGATTTTGGGGTCTGGACACGGATTTTGGGGGTCTGGACATGGATTTTGGGGGTTTGGATATGGATTTTGGGGGTTAGAGACGGATTTTGGGGGTTAGAGACGGATTTTGGGGGGTTCAAGATGGATTTTGGGGGGTTCGAGATGGATTTTGGGGGGTCTGGACACGGATTTTGGGGGGTTAGAGACGGATTTTGGGGGGTTAGATCCCCGTTTTTGGGGTCTGGACCTGGATTTTTGGGATTAGAGACGGATTTTGGGGGTTAGAGATGGATTTTTGGGGATCTGGACACAGATTTTGGGGGGGTTAGAGACGGATTTTGGGGGTCTAGAGGCAGATTTTGGGGGTCAGATCCTCATTTTTGGGATTTGGACACGGATTTTTGGGGTTAGATCCCCATTTTTGGGGGTCTGGACATGGATTTTTGGGGTTAGATCCCCGTTTTTGGGGTCTGGACTTGGATTTTGGGGGTTAGAGACGGATTTTGGGGGGTCTGGACACGAATTTTGGGGTTAGATCCCCGTTTTGGGGGTCTGGACACGGATTTTGGGGGTTAGAGACGGATTTTGGGGTCTGGACACGGATTTTGGGGTCTGGAATTGGATTTTGGGTGTTAGACCCGGATTTTGGGGGGTTAGATCCCCGATTTTGGGGTTTGGACACGGTTTTGGGGGTCTGGACACGGATTTTGGGGGTCTGGACACGGATTTTGGGGGGTTAGACCCGGATTTTTGGGGTTAGATCCCCATTTTTGGGGTTTGGACACGGATTTTTTGGGGTTAGATCCCCCTTTTTGGGGTCTGGACATGGATTTTGGGGTCTGGATATGGATTTTGGGGGTCTGGACACGGATTTTGGGGGTCTGGACATGGATTTTTGGGGTTAGATCCCCATTTTTGGGGTCTGGACACAGATTTTTGGGGTTAGATCCCCATTTTTGGGGTTTGGACACAGATTTTGGGGGGTTAGACCCGAATTTGGGGGTCTGGACATGGATTTTGGGGGTTAGACCCGGATTTTGGGGGGTTAGAGATGGATTTTGGGGGGTTTGAGATGAATTTTGGGGGGTTTGAGATGGATTTTGGGGGTTAGAGACGGATTTTGGGGGGTTAGAGACGGATTTTGGGGGGTTAGAGCCCCATTTTTGGGGTCTGGACACGGATTTTTGGGGTTTAGAGACGGATTTTGGGGGTCTGGACATGGATTTTTGGGGTTAGATCCCCGTTTTTGGGGTCTGGACACGGATTTTGGGGGGTTTGAGATGGATTTTGGGGGGTTAGAGACGGATTTTGGGGGGTTAGAGATGGATTTTGGGGGTCTGGAGGCGGAATTTGGGGGGTTAGACCCGGATTTTGGGAGTTAGAGATGGATCTTGGGGGTTAGGTGGGGATTTTGGGGGGTTAGAGACGGATTTTGGGGGGTCTGGACACGGATTTTTGGGGTTAGATCCCCATTTTTGGGGTCTGGACACAGATTTTTGGGGTTAGATCCCCATTTTTGGGGTTTGGACCTGGATTTTAGGGGGTTAGACCCGAATTTTGGGGGTCTGGACATGAATTTTGGGGTCTGGACACGGATTTTTGGGGTTAGATCCCCATTTTTGGGGTTTGGACACGGATTTTTGGGGTTAGAACCCAAATTTTGGTGACTTTGACACTCGTTTTTGGGGTTTGGACACAGATTTTTGGGGTCTGGACCTGAATTTTTGGGGTTAGATCCCCATTTTTGGGGTTAGATCCCCGTTTTTGGGGTTAGATCCCCGTTTTTGGGGTCTGGACATGGATTTTGGGGGTCTGGACACGGATTTTGGGGGTCTGGACCCGGATTTTGGGGTTAGATCCCCATTTTTGGGGTTAGATCCCCATTTTTGGGGTCTGGACACGGATTTTGGGGTTCTGCACACACATTTTGGGGGGTCTGGACACGGATTTTGGGGGTTAGAGATGGATTTTTGGGGTTAGATCCCCGTTTTTGGGGTCTGGACATGGATTTTGGGGGGTTAGACCCGAATTTTGGGGGGTTAGATCCCCATTTTAGGGGTCTGGACACGGATTTTGGGGGTTTGAGATGGATTTTGGGGGTCTGGACACGGATTTTTTGGGGTTAGACACCCATTTTTGGGGTCTGGACACGGTTTTGGGGGTCTGGACACGGATTTTTGGGGTTAGATCCCCATTTTTGGGGTCTGGACACAGATTTTTGGGGTTAGATCCCCATTTTTGGGGTTAGATCCCCATTTTTGGGGTCCGGGCACGGATTTTTGGGGTTAGATCCCCATTTTTGGGGTTTGGACACAGATTTTTGGGGTTAGATCCCCAAATTTTGGTGACTTTCACGCTCGTTTTTGGGGTTTGGACACAGATTTTTGGGGTCTGGACACGGATTTTTGGGGTTAGATCCCCGTTTTTGGGGTTTGGACACAGATTTTTTTGGGTTAGACCCAAATTTTTGGGGTTAGAACCCAAATTTTGGTGACTTTCACACTCGTTTTTGGGGTCTGGACCCGAATTTTTGGGGTTAAACCCAAATTTTGGGACCAGACCCAAATTGTTGGGGTTCGACTCCCCCAATTTTGGGGTCTGGACTTGAATTTTGGGGGGTTTGACTCAGATTTTGGGGGGTTAAACCCCCATTTTTGGGGTTTGGACCCGAATTTTGGGGGTCCCGCCCCCATTTTTTGGGTCTAAATCCGAATTTTGGGGGTCCCGCCCCCATTTTTTGGGTCTAAATCCGAATTTTGGGGTCCCGCCCCCATTTTTTGGGTCTAAATCCGAATTTTGGGGGTCCCGCCCCCATTTTTTTGGTCTAAATCCGAATTTTGGGGGTCCCGCCCCCATTTTTTGGGTCTAAATCCGAATTTTGGGGGTCCCGCCCCCATTTTTTGGTTCTAAATCCGAATTTTGGGGTCCCGCCCCCATTTTTTGGGGTCAAAATCCAAATTTTGGGGGTCCCGCCCCCATTTTTGGGTCTAAATCCGAATTTTGGGGGTCCCGCCCCCATTTTTTGGGGTCTAAATCCAAATTTTGGGGGTCCCGCCCCCATTTTTTGGGTCTAAATCCAAATTTTGGGGTCCCGCCCCCATTTTTTGGGTCTAAATCCGAATTTTGGGGGTCCCGCCCCCATTTTTTGGGTCTAAATCCAAATTTTGGGGGTCCCGCCCCCATTTTTGGGTCTGGATCCGAATTTTGGGGGTCCCACCCCCATTTTTTGGGTCTAAATCCAAATTTTGGGGGTCCCGCCCCCATTTTTTGGGTCTAAATCCAAATTTTGGGGGTCCCGCCCCCATTTTTTGGGTGTAAATCCGAATTTTGGGTTCTCAAACCCCCCAAAATTCCAATTTGGACCCAATTTTGGGGGGTCCGAGCCCCTCTCCCCCCCCCTCCCCCCCCCTCCCCCGGTGCCAATTTGGGGAGGGGGATTTTGGGGGGGGGTCCCTGGTGCTTTTTGGGGTGGGGGAGGGGCGGGGGGGGCGTTTTTTTGTACCAAAATAAAGAAATTTTGGAATTTGGAACAAAAGCGGCTGCGGAGGAGAAATTTGGGGGGGGGGAGGGGAAATTTGGGGTGGGGGAGGGGTGAAGGTGACCCCTCCCCCCCTTTTTGGGGTTTTTTTGGGGTTTTTTTGGGGTTTTTTTGGGGTTTTTTTGGGTTTTTTGGGGGGTGGGGGAGGGGTGAAGGTGACCCCTCCCCCCATTTTTGGGTTTTTTTGGGTTTTTTTGGGGGTTTTTTGGGGTTTTTTTGGGTTTTTTGGGGTTTTTTTGGGTTATTTGGGGGGTGGGGGAGGGGTGAAGGTGACCCCTCCCCCTTTTTTTGGTTTTTTGGGGGTTTTTTTTGGGTTTTTTTGGGGTTTTTTTGGGTTTTTTGGGGGGTGGGGGATGGGTGAAGGTGACCCCTCCCCCCATTTTTTGGGTTTTTTTGGGGGTTTTTTTTGGGGGTTTTTTTTTGTTTTTTTGGGGGTTTTTTTTTGGTTTTTTGGGGTTTTTTTGGGGTTTTTTGGGGTTTTTTGGGGGGTGGGGGAGGGGTGAAGGTGACCCCTCCCCCATTTTTGGTTTTTTTTTGGGTTTTTTTGGGGTTTTTTTGGGGTTTTTTGGGGTTTTTTGGGGGGTGGGGGAGGGGTGAAGGTGACCCCTCCCCCATTTTTGGGTTTTTTTGGGGTTTTTTTTGGGGTTTTTTTGGGTTTTTTGAGTTTTTTGGGGGGTGGGGGAGGGGTGAAGGTGACCCCTCCCCCCATTTTTGGGTTTTTTTTGGGGGTTTTTTTGGTTTTTTTGGGGGTTTTTTTGGGGTTTTTTGGGGTTTTTTGGGGGGTGGGGGAGGGGTGAAGGTGACCCCTCCCCCCATTTTTGTTTTTTTTTTGTTTTTTTGGGGTTTTTTTGGGTTTTTTGGGGGGTGGGGGAGGGGTGAAGGTGACCCCTCCCCCCATTTTTGGTTTTTTTTTGGGGTTTTTTTGGGGTTTTTTGGGGGTTTTTTGGGGGTTTTTTTTTGTTTTTTTTGGGGTTTTTTTTTGGGTTTTTTTGGGTTTTTTTGGGGTTTTTTTAGGTTTTTTGGGGGGTGGGGGAGGGGTGAAGGTGACCCCCCCATTTTTTGAGGTTTTTTTTGGGGTTTTTTTGGGGTTTTTTTTGGGGTTTTTTTGGGGTTTTTTGGGGGGTGGGGGAGGGGTGAAGGTGACCCCTCCCCCCTTTTTTGGGGTTTTTTGGGGGGTTTTTTGGAGTTTTTTTGGGTTTTTTTGGGTTTTTTTGGGGGGTGGGGGAGGGGTGAAGGTGACCCCTCCCCCCATTTTTGGGTTTTTTTTGGGTTATTTTTGAGGTTTTTTGGGGTTTTTTTGGGGTTTTTTTGGTTTTTTTGGGGGGTGGGGGAGGGGTGAAGGTGACCCCTCCCCCCATTTTTGGGTTTTTTTGGGGGTTTTTTGGGTTTTTTGGGGGGTGGGGGAGGGGTGAAGGTGACCCCTCCCCTCCCCCCCCTTTTATTGTTTTTTTTGGGGGTCCCAAAATCCGCGACAGGTGCGGGGTGGGGGAGGGGCGCGCGGTGACGTCACCGCCCCTCCCCCCCCCTCCCCCCCCCTCCCCCCCCCTTTTTCTTTTGTTTTCACCCAAAAAAGGCCCTGGGGGGGTCCCGGCCCCTCCCCCCCCCCCCGCGGTGTCGCATGTCGCGACATATCGGGGGACAATGGCAGTGACGTCATCGCGCGGGGGGAGGGGCGGGACCCCCATAAAGGGACCCCCAAAAAGGGGGGGAGGGGCGCGAGTGGGACCCCCGGGACGGGAACGCGGTGGGGGAGGGAATTTGGGGGGATTTGGGGGGATTTTGGGGGATTTTGGGATTTTTTTTGGGGTATTTTGGATTTTTTTGGGGTTATTTTGCGTTTTTTTGGGGGGGGGTTGGGGATTTTTGGGGGGATTTGGGGGATTTTTGGGGGGATTTTGGGGGGATTTGGGGATTTTTTGGGGGGATTTTGTTTTTTTGGGGGGATTTTGGGGGGGATTTGGGGTTTTTTGGGTTTTTTTGGGGATAGTTTGGGGGTGGATTTGGGGATTTTTGGGGGGATTTTGGGGATTTTTGGGGGGATTTGGGGTTTCTTGGGGGGATTTGGGGTTTTTTGGGGGGGATTTGGGATTTTTTGGGGGGATTTGGGGATTTTTCGGGGGATTTGGGGACTTTTTGGGGGAATTTGGGGATTTTTGGAGGGATTTGGGGAATTTTTGGGGGGATTTGGGGATTTTTGGGGGGATTTGGGGTTTTTTGGGAGGATTTTGGGGATTTTTTGGTGGGATTTTAGGGTTTTTCGGGGGGATTTGGGGATTTTTTTGGGGAGATTTTGGGGGGATTTGGGGTTTTTTGGGGGTTTTGGGGTTTTTTGGGGGGATTTGGGGTTTTTTTGGGGAGATTTAGGGTTTTTTGGGGGATTTGGGGATTTTTGGGGGGAATTTGGGGATTTTTGGGGTTTTTTGGGGGGATTTGGGGTTTTTTTGGGGGGATTTTGGTTTTTTTGGGGGGATTTGGGGGTTTTTTTGGGGGGATTTTGGGGTTTTTGGGGGGATTTGGGGTTTTTTTGGGGGGATTTGGGGGTTTTTTGGGGGGAATTTGGGGTTTTTTGGGGAGAATTTGGTGATTTTTGGGGATTTTTTGGGTGGATTTGGGGTTTTTTGGGGCGGTTTGTGGTATTTTGGGTTTTTTTGGGGGGATTTGGGGTTTTTCGGGGGGGGCTTATGGGTATTTTGGGGGTTTTTTTGGAAATTTTGGTTTTTTTGGGGGGATTTTGGGTTTTTTCACGGGTTTGGGGGGGAATTTTGGGGTTTTTTTTGAGGGTTTTGGGGGTGTTTGGGGGGGCTCTGGGTTTTTTTGGGTTTTTTGGGGTTTTTTTGGGTTTTTTTGGGTTTTTGGGGGATATTGACCCTCCCTGCCCCCCCTCCCCGTGCCCCTCCCCCTCCTCAGGACCCCCGAAATCGGCGCCATGTCGGAGCCCGAGGAGGAGTTCGAGTGAGTGACCCCAAAATCCCCCAAATTCCCCCCAAAATCCCCCAAAAACGGCCCTGGGACCCCCAAAATATCCCTGGGACCCCAAAACCCCCCTGGGACCCCCAAAATCCCCCAAAATCCCCCCAAAAATATCCCTGGGACCCCAAAATCCCCCTGGGACCCCCAAAATCCCCCCAAAAACGGCCCTGGGATCCCCAAAATATCCCTGGGACCCCAAAATCCCCCAAAAACAACCTTGGGACCCCCAAAATCCCCCCAAATCCCCCCAAAATCCCCCTAAAAACAACCCTGGGACCCCCAAAATCCCCCCGGGACCCCCAAAATCCCCCCGGGACCCCCAAAACCCCCCCAAAATCTCCCCCAAATCCCCCAAAATCTCTGTGGGACCCCAAAATTCCCCAAAACCTCCCCAAAATTCCCCAAAACTTTCCCAAAATCTCTGTGGGACCCCCAAAATCCCCCAAAACCTCCCCAAAATCCCCCAAAACCTCCCCAAAATCCCCCAAAACCTCCCCAAAATCCCCCCGGGACCCCCAGAATCCCCCCAAATCCCCCAAAATCCCCCAAAACCTCCCCAAATCTCTTTGGGACCCCCAAAATTGCCCAAAACTGCCCCAAAACCTCCCCAGGACCCCCAAAATCCCCCAAAACTTCCCCAAAATCCCCCAAGACTTTCCCAAAATCTCTGTGGGACCCCCAAAATTCCCCAAAATCCCCAAATCTCCCCAAAATCCCCCTGGGACCCCAAAATCCCCCCGGGACCCCCAAATCTCCCCAAAATCCCCCCGGGACCCCCAAAACTGCCCCAAATCTCTGTGGGACCCCCAAAATCTCCCCAAAATCTCTGTGGGACCCCCAAAATCCCCCAAATCTCCCCAAAATCCCCCAAAATTCCCCAAAATCCCCCAAAATCCCCCCGGGACCCCCAACTGGCCCCTCCCCCCTCACCCTCTTTTCCTCCCCCCCCCCAGGGAGCAGCCGGAGGGTGAGTGACCCCGAGTGACCCCAATTAACCCCTTTAATTAGCGCTAATTAACCCCCCTGACCCAAAACCCCCGTAATTAACCCCAAAGTGTTACTTAATCCTGGTTAATTAACATCTTAATTAACATTAAACCCCCCCCAGAACCCAAAATCTCCTTAATTAACCCCAAAGTGTTAATTAATCCTGGTTAATTAACATGTTAATTAACATTAAACCCCCCCTAGAACCCCAAATCCCCTTAATTAACCCCAAAGCGTTAATTAATCCTGAGTTAATTAACATTAAACCCCCCCTAGAACCCAAAATCCCCTTAATTAACCCCGAAGTGTTAATAAATCCTGATTATTTAACATGTTAATTAACATTAAACCCCCCCTAGAACCCGAAATCCCCTTAATTAACCCCAAAAGGATAATTAATCCTGGTTAATTAACATGTTAATTAACATTAAACCCAAAATCCCCTTAATTAAGCTCTAATTAGTTATTAATTAGGGGTTATCTAATCGTTAATTAATTAATATTATTTGTAATTAATATTAAGAGGTCTGGGGGGTGCTAATTACCATAATTACCTCGCTAATTAGCGTGGGGGGGGTGGGGGCGCTGCCGCCCCTCCCCCTCCCCAAATTTCCCCCAGAGGCGGCGGAGGAGGAAGAGGAGGAGGAAGGTGAGGAAGGAAACCCCAAAAAAAACCCCAAATTTGGGGGAAATTCCCCAAAAAAACCCCAAATTTGAGGGAAATTCCCCAGAAAAACCCAAATTTGGGGGATTTCACCCCAAAAAACCCCAAATTTGGGGAATTTTGCTCAAAAAAAACCCCGAATTTGGGGGATTTCCCCCCAAAAAAACCCCAAATTTGTGGGATTTCCCCAAAAAAAACCCCAAAATTTGGAGGATTTCACCCCAAAAAAAACCCCAAATTTGGGGGATTTCCCCCCAAAAAAAACCAAATTTGGGGGATTTTCCCAAAAAAACCCACAAATTTGGGGAATTTCGTTCAAAAAAACCCCAAATTTGGGGGATTTCCCCCCCAAAAAACCCCAAAATTTGAGGGAAATTTCCCCCCAAAAAACCCCAAATTTGGGGAATTTCGCTCAAAAAAATCCAAATCTGAGGGAAATTCCCACAAAAAAATCCCAAATTTGAGGGAAATTTCCCCAAAAAAAACCCCAAATTTGAGGGAAATTCCCCCAAAAAAACCCACAAATTTGGGGAATTTCGCTCAAAAAAAACCCAAATTTGGGGAATTTCGAACCCCAAATTTGAGGGAAATTTCCCCCAAAAAAACCCCATATTTGAGGAAAATTCCCCCAAAAAAGCCACAAATTTGGGGGATTTCCCCCCCAAAAAACCCCAAATTTGGGGAATTTCGCTCAAAAACCCAAAATTTGGGGAATTCCCCCCAATTCTGACCCTCCCTGTTCCTCCCCCGCAGCCTCGGAGCCCCCGAAACCTCCTGAGGAGCCCGGTAGGACCCAAAATCCCAAAATTCACCCCAAAAATACCCCAAAATCCCAAAAATCACCCCAAAATCACCCAAAAATCCCAAAAATCACCCCAAAATCCCAAAAATCACCCCAAAACACCCCAAAATCCCAAAAATCACCCCAAAATCCCAAAAATCACCCCAAAACACCCCAAAATCCCAAAAATCACCCCAAAATCCCAAAAATCACCCCAAAATCCCAAAAATCACCTCCAAATCCCCCAAATCACCCCCAAATCCCAAAATCACCCCAAAATGCCCCAAATCACCCCAAAATCACCCCAAAATGCCCCAAATCACCCCAAAATCCCAAAAATCACCCCAAAATCCCAAAATCACCCCAAAATCCCAAAAATCGCCCCAAAATCCCAAAAATCACCCCAAAAATCACCCCAAAACACCCCAAAAATGCCCTAAATCACCCCAAAATCCCAAAAATCACCCCAAAATCCCCAAAATCACCCAAAAAATCCCCAAAATCACCCCAAAATCCCAAAAATCACCCCAAAATCCCCCAAATAACCCCAAAATCCCAAAAATGCCCTAAATCCCCCAAAGCCCCCCAAATTTCCCCAAATTTCCCCAAATCCCCCAAATTTCCCCCAAATTTCCCCAAATCCCCCCCAAACCCCCCAAATCTCCCCAAATCCCCCCAAATCTTCCCAAATCCACCCAAATTTCCCCAAATTCCCCCCAAATCTCCCCAATTCCCCCCAAATCCCCCAAAATTTCCCAAATTTCCCCAAATTCCCCCTAAATTCCACAAATTTTCACCAAATCCCCCCAAAACCCCCAAATCTCCCCAAATTCCCCCCAAACCCCCCAAATCTTCCCCAAATTTCCCCAAATCCCCCAAAATCCCCCAAATTTCCCCAAATTTCCCTGAATCCCCTCCAAATTTCCCCAAAATCTTCCCCAAATCCCCCAAATTCCCCCAAATTCCCCCAAATCCCCTCAAATTCCCCCCAAACCCCCAAATTTCTCCCCAAATCCCCCCAAATTTCCCAAAAACCCCCAAAATCCCCCCAAATCTCCCCCAAATCCCCCAAATCCCCCCAAATCTTTCCCAAATTCCCCCAAACCCCCCAAAATCCCCCAAATTTCCCCAAATTCCCCCCAAATCCCCCCCAAATCCCCCAAAATTTCCTCAAATTTCCCCAAATCTCGCCAAATGCCCCCAAATCTCCCCAAATCTTCCCCAAATCCCCCCAAATTCACCCCAAAATTCCCCAAACCCCCCAAAGTCCCCCCAAACCCCCCAAATTCCCCCAAATTTCCCGAAATCCCCCAAATTTCCCCAAAATCTCCCCACAGAGGAGGAGCGGCCGCGGCCCCGGTGAGGCGGATTTTGGGGGGATTTGGGAATTTTGGGGATTTTCGGGGGTTTTGGGGGTCTCTGACCCCCCCGACCCCCCCCAGCCCCCCCCTGACCCCGCTGGCGCCCCCCAAAATCCCCGAGGGGGAGCGCGTCGACTTCGACGTGAGTTTGGGGAGAATTCCGGGATTTTGGGGATTTTGGGGGGTTTGGGGTTCAGGGGGCATTTGGGGGAGATTTGGGGGGGATTTTGGGGAGATTTGGGGGGGATTTTGGGGAGATTTTGGGGGGATTTGGGGGGTTTTGGGGGAGATTTGGCGCAGGATTTGGGGTTTTTGGGGGAAATTTTGGGGGAGATTTGGGGGCTTTGGGGGGATTTGGGGAAATTTGGGGGGATTTGGGGTTCTTGGAGGTGATTTTGGGGGTTTTGGAGGTGATTTTGGGGGGAATTTGGGGGTTTTGGGGAAGATTTGGGGAGGATTTGGGGTTCTTGGAGGTGAATTTGGGGATTTTGGGGAGGATTTGGGGTTTTTGGAGGGGAATTTGGGGGAGATTTGGGGTTTTTGGGGCAAGATTTGGGTGGGATTTGGGGTTCTTGGAGGTGAGTTTGGGGAGATTTGGGGGTAATTTGGGGAGGATTTGGAGTTTCTGGAGGTGAATTTTGGGAGGATTTGGGGGAGGATTTGGGGAAGATTTGGGGGATTTTGGGGTTCGGGGGGGATTTGGGGGTTTTGGGAAGATTTGGGGGATTTGGGGGAGATTTGGGGGGAATTTGGGGGGGATTTGGGGTTTTTGGGGGAGGATTTGGGGTTTTGGGGGAAGATTTGGGGGGTTTTGGGGTTTTTGGAGGTGAATTTTGGGGAATTCGGGGGGAAAATTGGGGGTTTTGAAGGTGAATTTGGGGGGAATTTCGGGATTTTTGGGGAAGATTTGGGGGTTTTGGAGGTGAATTTGGAGGGAGAATTTGGGGAGGATTTGGGATTTGGGAGAGATTTGGGGTTTTTGGGGAGGATTTGGGGAGGATTTGGGGAGGATTTGGGGAGGATTTGGGGTTCTTGGGGAGGATTTCGGTTTTTTGGGGAAGATTTGGGGCTTTTGGGCGGAATTTGGGGTGATTTGGGGGGGATTTAGGGGAGATTTGGGGGGAGATTTGTGGTTTTTGGAGGTGAATTTGGGGTGATTTGAGGATTTTGGGGAGGATTTGGGGGAAATTTGGGGTTTTTGGGGGGGAATTTGGGGGGAATTTGGGGAGAATTTGGGGGTTTTGGAGGTGAATTTGGGGAGGATTTGGGGTTCTTGGAGGGGATTTTGGGGAGGATTTGGGGTTTTTGGGGGAGATTTGGGGGGAATTTGGGGTTTTGGGGGAGATTTGGGGTTTTTGGGGGGATTTGGGGGTTTTGGGGAGGATTTGGGGAAGATTTGGGGGATTTTGGGGTTTGGGGAGAATTTGGGGGTTTTGGAGGGGGAGATTTGGGGAGGATTGGGGTTTTTGGGGAAGATTTGGGGGGTATTTTGGGGAGATTTGGGGTGATTTGGGAGATTTGGGGTTTTTGGAGAGGATTTTGGGGGGAATTTGGGCAGGATTTGGGGTTTTTGGGGAAGATTTGGGGGTTTTGGGGAAGATTTGGGTGGGATTTGGGATTTTTGGAGGGGAATTTGAGGGGATTTTGGGGGTTTTGGGGGGGATTTGGGGAGAATTTGGGGGAAATTTGGGGTTTTTGGGGGGAATTTGGGGAGGATTTGGGGGTTTGGGGGAAGATTTGGGGTTTTTTGGGAGGATTTGGGGTTTTTGGGGGAGATTTGGGGGTTTTGGGGAGATTTGGGGTTTTTGGAGGTGAATTTAGAGGGGATTTTGGGGGGAAGTTGGGGAGGATTTGGGGATTTTGGGGAGGATTTGGGGGGGTTTTGGGGGGATTTGGGTTTTTTGGGGAAGATTTGGGGGTTTTGGAGGTGAATTTGGGGTGATTTGGGGGGGATTTTGGGGTTTTTGGCGGGGAATTTGGGGGGAATTTTGGGGAAATTTGGGGAGAATTTGGGTGGGATTTTGGGTTTGGGGGAGATTTGGGGTTTTTGGAGGTGAATTTGGGGATTTAGGAGGGGATTTGGGGGGGTTTTGGGGTTCAGGGAGGATTTGGGGGTTTTGGGGGAAGATTTGGGGTTTTTGGAGGTGATTTTGGGGGGAATGTGGGAGAAGATTTGGGGGGATTTGGGGTTCTTGGAGGTGATTTGGGGTTTTTAGAGGTGAATTTGGGGGGTTTTGGGGATTTTTGGGGAAGATTTGGGGGGAATTTGGGGTCTTGGAGGTGAAATTGGGAGGATTTGGGGGTTTTGGGGGAGATTTGGGGTTTTTGGTGGGGATTTTGGGGGTGAATTTGGGGGGAATTTGGGGAGGATTTTGGGGAGATTTGGGGTTTTTGGAGGTGATTTTGGGGGCAATTTGGGGTTTTTGGGGCAGGATTTAGAGAGGATTTGGGGTTTTTGGAGGGGAGTTTGGGGGGAATTTGGGGTTTTTGGGGAAGATTTGGGGGTTTGGGGGAGATTTGGGGGGTTTGGGGGAAATTTGGGGAGGATTTGGGTGAGATTTTGGGTTTGGGGGGGATTTTGGGGGTTTGGGGGGATTTGGGGGTTTTGGAAGTGAATTTGGGGTGATTTGGGGATTTTGGGGAGATTTGGGGTTTTTGGGGGGGAATTTGGGGGTTTTGGGGAGGATTTGGGTGGGATTTGGGGGTTTTGGAGATGAATTTGGGGGGAATTTGGGGGGGATTTGGGGGAGATTTGGGGTTCTTGGAGGGGATTTTGGGGAGGATTTGGGGAGGGTTTGGGGTTTTGGAGGTGAATTTGGGGGGGTTTGGGAGGAATTTGGGGGAATTTGGGGTGATTTGGGGGGAAATTTGGGGATTTGGGGGAGATTTGGGGTTTTGGGGTTCAGGGGGGGGTTGGGGGATTTTGGAGGTGAATTTGGGGGGAATTTGGGGATTCTGGGGGGGGATTTGGGGTTTTTGGGGAGGATTTGGGGTTTTTGGGGAAGATTTGGGTTTTTTTGGGGGGATTTGGGGTTTTTGGGGGGGATTTGGGGGGTTTGGGGGGGATTTGGGGTTCTTGGAGGTGAATTTGGGGGGAATTTGGGGGTTTGGGGAAGATTTGGGATTTTGGGGAGGATTTGGGTTTTTTTAGGAAGGATTTGGGATTTTTGGGGAAGATTTGGCGTTTTTGGAGGTGAATTTAGGGGGGATTTTGGGGGAATTCGGGTTTTTTTGATGTTTTTTGGGGTGAATTGGGTTTTTGGGAGAATTTGGGATTTTCAGGAGGGAATTTTGGGATTTCTGGGTTTATTTGGGGTTTTTTTTGTTTATTTGGGTTTATTTGGGTTTTTTTAGGTTTATTTGGGTTTTTTTGGGGATTTTTGGGTCGGGTTTTTTCCGAGTGGATTTTTTGGGTTAAATTCGGGTTTTTTTGGGTCTGGGGTCTCAGGACATCCACCGGAAGCGGATGGAGAAGGAGCTGCTGGGGAGGGATTTTTGGGTTTATTTGGGTTTATTTGGGTTTATTTTGGACAATTTTGGGTTTTTTGGGTCGGGATTTTTCCGAGTGGATTTTTTGGGGTAAATTCGGGGTTTTTTGGGTCTGGGGTCTCAGGACATCCACCGGAAGCGGATGGAGAAGGACCTGCTGGAGCTGCAGACCCTCATCGACGCCCATTTCGAGCAGCGGCGCCGTGAGGAGGAGGAGCTGAAGGGGTTAATGGAGCGCATCGTGAGTTCGGCATTTTTGGGGGATTTTTGGGATTTTTGGGTTTTTTTGGGTTTTTTTGTGTCTGGAGATGTTATTTGGGGATTTTGGGGAGGTGCTCTGGAGTTTTTTTGGGAAATTTGGGGGTTTTGTGTTTTTTTGGGGTGATTTCAGGTGAGTTTGGGGATTTTTTTGGGGTGTTTTGAGGCAGTTTTTGGGGTTTTGGGGATTTTTGGGCTGTTTTGGGGTTGTTTTGGGGTGTTTTGGGCCATTCTGAGGTGATTTGGAGTGTTTGGGGCGGTTTTGGGGTGTTTTTTAGCTGTTCTGGGGTGGTTTGGGCTGGTTTTGGGGTACTTTGGGCAGGTTTTGGGGTGCTTTGAACTGGTTTTGGCTCTTTTTTGGGGTTTTTTGGGTTTTTTTGGGGTTTTTTTTGGTGTCTGGAGACGTTATTTGGGGATTTTGGGGAGGTGCTCTGGAGTTTTTTGGGGAAATTTGGGGGTTTTCTGTCTTTTTGGGGTGATTTCAGGTGAGTTTGGGGATTTTTTTGGGGTGTTTTGAGGCAGTTTTTGGGGTTTTTGGCATTTTTGGGCTGTTTTGGGGTGCTTTGGGCCATTTTTGGGGTTTTTTTGGGTTTTTGGGGTGTTTTGGCTGTTTGGGCTGTT